CAAGTAATCTCCGATACACGGCTTCGTTCTCAGCCTGCGCGTTGGCTGTATCAGGATCTGCGGGATCCGGGACCGGTGATAACCCTGGATGAGGATTCAGCTCGTGGTATAGCGCACGATGCGACGTTTGTAGTCCCGATAGGTGTGACCGTTCCTTCGCAAGTCGAAAGGCTAGACGAGATGATCACCCAAGTCAGCAATCGCCTCCCTCGTTTAAGATTTCCGGGATGCCTCTGTTTCCAGAAACGAACATCCCAGGGTAAATGAAGTCGGGTCTTACAGAGTATATGTGCTTCCACCAGGGCAGGAATCTCATCCAAGGCGAGCTGTGTGACATCTACCTGGCGTATCCGCTGTTCCAGGGCGCGGGTACAATGCGCAATAACTTGAAGGACCTCATTGACAAGCGCCTGGTCAGGGGTAATCTTTGTGTACCACGAGTAAACAAATTCTCTGATTATGACGGCGAGTATGGCGTAAAGCTGACGGTCGACGTCATTGGAGCTCGTGAGGGGAGGCAATAGCTCTTCCGAAGGTTGCGGAGACGATGCGCCGTGGCCGCTGCCAGGCTGGGGAGATAGGACACGTCGAATTAGAGCAGTAGTGGCCTTGTCACTCGTAGCATCAGTTGTGTCGTCTCGAATAGGCGGTCGTTGGGCTCGTAGTCTAGAGGAGGGTCGTGTCAAAGGTGGTTGCCCTGAGGAAGGTAACGCGGTAGACCTGGAGCTCGAGGTTGTCGGTCCAGCCTTGAGATGCGAGACCGGCTGCAAACCGGGTCGTATAGGGTCATTCATGGCATCTTAGGAGCGCATAAACTCTCTCTAGTCGGTTCATTAGAGATCACAAGGCGCAAGGGTATCACCCTTTCTTGATGAACGCAGATCGTAGCTGTTGCGGTGACCGCGAAGTCGATGATTTGGAGCTTCTTGATTCGGAAAGTAGGGCTTAGGGCTGAGATAAGGTGCTTATCGCGGTGCGGGGAGATGGATACGTGATTCCCTTGTTGGGCAGTTCTCCTCATTCAACAACACTCTCGTCCCAGTCATTGAAGATGTTGCCTCAAAAAGACAACACGATCAGAATACCTCTTTGGTTGGACTGCGATCCCGGTTAGTTATTGAGAACTAAACTCAACTTTTTTACTCAGACTAAGCTGTTCCCGTAGGACACGATGTATGTCAATACCTACATGACAATAAAAACCGGCATGTTGACCTGCTGTCTAGGACGCTTTTGCAATCTTGATAGCAGCGCATCACCCTTCTCTTAACCTTCTTGGAATAACGACTATTCATGGCAATTCTTCTTTGGATAACACGACCTATAATGCCAGAAGTATTCTAGAAGCTATCGGGAGACCAGGGATCCCAGTCTACCCTGGAAGCCGGAAACCATTTTCGCGCCCCGCATTGCATGCTCCAGACATCCACGGTAAGACTCGTCCTTGGTCTTCGACTTACCGGCGACCGGGTTGTTACAAAGCTCTTATCGGCGCTTCTTAACAGGTGAATCTGGCCTTGATGGCACCGATCTCCTACCAAAACCCTCCGTTCCTCCTGTTACGAACGAGAATCCCATCCTGGCCATGCGCAATGCACTCTTAGCCCAGCCTAAAGGGACCCCTTGGGTAGTTGCAACGGGCACATTGACCAATATTGCCTTGCTATTCGCAACATTCCCCGAGGTTGCGGAGCATGTCCAGGGGTTGAGTATCATGGGGGGTGCGATCGGTGGAGGGTTCACAGATGCCCCCATGAGTAGGCTTCCTGGGGAAACGTCCCGTATTGGAAACGTTACTCCGTGGGCCGAATTCAATCTCTATGTGGGTCTTTTCTTTGTCCTGTTCTATCTTGGGCGCGAAAAAACCCTGACTTTACTGACCTTCTCTGCGAAAAGTGCGATCCCGAGTCTTCCGAGTCCATCTTCAGTAATCCTGTTCTGGCTCCTAAGACCACGATAGCGGCGCTGGATTTGACCCACCAAGTTCTCGCGTCTCAGGACGTGCAAACGCGTATCCTGCATGGTGGAAGGGATCCATCACAGCCACCGACGGTTATTAGACAAATTCTGCACGCTCTGCTTACTTTCTTTGCGGCAACGTACGAGGAAGTGTTCGGTCTGGCAAGCGGTCCTCCGCTGCATGACCCGTTGGCCGTGGCAGTAATCCTATCAACATTGAACCCCACGTTTGCTTTGGAGCATCCTCGCGAAGCTCTCCGGTTCGATGACAGGGGTGGGGAAAGATTTGCTGTGAGCATCGTGACGGACGGCCGTCATGGCAAGGATGTCTCCGCCACCGGCCAGCTGGGACGTTCGATTGCTACGCCAGTCACGGGCCCCGGTGTGGCTATTCCAAGGGGTGTTGATCTGGAAGCATTCTGGTCGATAATTCTAGATTGTGTGCAGTTGGCCGATGACTGCAATGCGGCCCGATCGTGATGTATAAAGTCATAGAGGTGGATACACTCCATTCAATTAGACTTCATAGGGCTTGGCAGAACTGCATTTCGTAGACTATATCAATAAACCGACCGGGCTTACTCATACTCAAATTAACCGAAGATGCGTCTCGAATTTCAATAGTGGTTGATATCCAATAGTAGCGGTAGAATCGATTGTTCGTAGGTAGTGCAGCGCGCCGGGCTGTCGCCCGCTCCCGACCTTCCTGGTGGGCACCCGCTATGATATATATCGCTGCGTGCTTACTGCAATACCCGCGGAATACTGTATTGGATGGGCTTCTTGTTTGGCGAAATTAACTCAAGAGTATTATTTACAAATGGACATTAGGAAAATAAAACGAAAGGAACTGAAAAGGAAGGCATGATAATTATTCATTCAACTCTGGAGGTCAAAATGGATGGGAAAAAAAAGAATGGCAATGTTCCCTCGAACCGGAATCGAGCCGGTGACCTTTCGGTTACATGATAGTCCATTACAGCCGAACGTGATATCCAACTACACCATCGAGGGTTTGATTGCGAAAGGTTGCTCATGTTTTGACGATATGAAGGAAAAATACTAGCCTTCCGATCTCAATAGGCTGATGGTGGCCCGCCTAATGAAAATCCAACGCAAGTGGTCGAAAGAACAATTACCACGATAATTTATAGGCAAGCCTTAATTTCTTGACTACATATCAAGAATATCCCTATGACCTATCAGTATATCACTTATTATATATAGGACAGTATCATTGTTATATTCTCTGGGCCTAGTAGGAACACGCAATTTACCGGCTCTTGTCCATAATCGCATGATGTAAAGCGTGCTATGTACCTATAAGAGGCAGGGCTCCTATGGTAGTAGTAATAGATAAAAAAACTTTATCGCAATGATTTCTATCACAGCGGGACGTGAATAGGTTGAAGTATTGCAAAAGAGAAAAAAGAAAAGTTGTAATGTTCCCTCGAACCGGAATCGAGCCGGTGACCTTTCGGTTATATGATAGTCCATTACAGCCGAACGTGATATCCAACTACACCATCGAGGGTTTGATTACGACAACTTGCCAGGAACTATGCTAAATAAATCAAGATCGGTCTACCATCCAGCTCCCATAAAAACGAGGGTCTTATTTTTGGTCAACAGTTGGCCAACATCCATTTAAAATGTCATAGGATCCTACGTTGCGACCCATAAAGACTCACAAAAATGCTCTGCTCTCACTCAGACGACATACACCATGATTAGTGTCTCGCCTACTATATAGATTACCCCACCGCTAACATCACAGTGTTGTGTCAACGAGCAGAAAGAAATCCGAATCTTGATATAATTGATATTATTGATAAGCGTCCCCATAGGAGGCATTGCCTAATTAGCGGATGACTGTACGAATGCGAGGCTGCTGGCTCTGTAATGGGCCATGGATTCGGCTGAATATCATGGGTGGCAGGTGGCTTGTAGGCCATTCGCACTGGTTATCCCATTACTTGAAGAATCTAGATAGTCAAACTGTCATTTGCCATTTTATGCCTAGAGGCTTTGTGACCCTGTTTTAGGTGGCCGGTGGGTGGCCATCGCCATCAGGTCAGGTTTTCCACCAATCTACGAGCAGAAGGACGATTTGCGTTCAGTCTTGCCACGGGAGGCAGTGTATCTGCAAGCAGAATTGGTTTTTCTCTCAATCTTGATATAATTGCCAATTCGGGAGATAGTGGCCATAGAAATGGGGTCGCCATGCTAAAAGCCAATGTGCCAGGGCATTTGCCAAACTGGTTCGATGTAACAGGAATCGCAAATTAACACCAACACCGCCTTGGTCAATAGACCCAGGTTGTGTTTTATGTCTGCCTATAGACCAGGTCCCTGTTCAGAGCACCGACAGTGCCCTGGACAGCTTCAGTATCATCGTCCTGACTGCTTGCAACCCAGCCTTTAATGGCGTCCTTCGTCGGTAGATTCAATGAGGAGCCTTTGAAGAAGAGCCTGGATGATTTCAACGATTCATATCTTTATCGTGATACCGTGATGTCTTTATGTAGATCACGAGACTTTTTGGACCTTTCAAGTCGGCCACTCACTTCGAAATAGCAGCCAAATGCAGGTCGTTTAAGGCGCAAACCCTGGCGACTAGAAGGTCAAAAATTGCTCCGCAACAGCTCCGCAGGTGGCTCGAGCTAGACTCTGAGTTTCGACTTGAGAGCATGGATCGAGAAATCGGGGTGTATGATAAAACGGACATTCTGAAAACCGCATCAGCTTGCTGGCAAGTGTTCGTGACGCAAGAGGGCCATGTTGATAAGGAGATTGACGTTCTCCTATGGGAACAACTCGCCGATGCCGTGCTTCAGGTACCATAGGGAAATGCAATCGGTCGAAATTGGCAAGGTCAATCAGATTCATTGATCAATATAATTCACAGGGCAGACGATTTCAATAAAAATGAATACATATCGTGGTGTGGAGCATCGAAGGTCCTTCGGAGACGCGGAGAAACGGACGTCATGTTATGCGTTGCTTCTCCACATTTTTTATAAAGACAAAGCCAACTCAAACTCCGTCCCCTTCGGCACCGGCGTGCAACAACACCCTCTTGCCTTCTCTAACTCTTCCTCAACTCCACCGATTTGGCATACTGCCAACAATCAACATCATATACACTTTCCGGGATTAGCTTTGCTGCATACTCCCCGGTTGATCCACCTGCCGGCCTCCCTTACGGCGGATTCCGGCCCCAGCGCCTCCCCGAGGAGATGCCGCCTCCCAACTCGGCATCAGTATGTTATGGCCCTTCGTGCCTTTGGACCGCTTCATCCCTTCAGTTGCACGCCGTCTTCGATCTGTCGACTAACGCTTAACTGCTTTAGCACGGCACCCCAACCCTGTCACCCACCACACTCGCGCCCGAGCCGTTGTCGCGACGATCGTCGACTCCCGACTCACCCGTCCCTGTGGAGAGCGATAACGCCCACGACGAGAATGTGAACTTCCTTCGATCCCGATCCTTACTGTACAATCCGCTACTACCTTCACTCAGTCGACATCGCCGTCGTCGATACCAGACTTCGCATCCCCGACAGATGGAGGAACCATCGGCTGACGACCTGATGGACCTGGACGACCCAAGCAATCTCCGGTTATCTGTCGAAATCAACCGTCGCATACCTATCGTCCGACGCCAACGGGAAGAACCCAGAAGTGTGCCCAACTACGAAACTCGCCGGTCAAATTCGCGCTCCTTGTATGGATGGGCCCCTGGGTCAGATGACGAAGACGAGGAACCCCGCCGCGAAGAGTCGGATGACGACCAGATCCAACCTTTCCTCCACGCAGTTCCAGATCGCAATACCACATCAAGTCGATCTCGCCGACATGAATCCACAGCGCACAGCCCACCGATTGCAGTCGGAGATGGTCCCACCGAGGGTTCCGATCGATGGCTGAATGGGCCGATCCCGATGGAGCTGTTGCAGTCGACAAGGCGACAGCCAAGATTAGCGAGAACGCGGACACTGGAGAGCTTTCTGTTGGATCGGTATGGGGCTCGTTCTAATGATGAGTTTGAAGAAACCGAGCGCATAGGGGGATCATCGTCCACAAGAGCCTACCGATATCGTCCGCCCAATAGGGGCGACTCACATCGACCTCTTACCCACAGCGACCTGCGCGCCCGGGTTGCTGCACACCGGCAACTACATTCGAGCACTCCTGGCGACTCGGTTCTGAAGGATACGATCAACTACCTCGAACGTCTTCGATATTCCAATTCCTTTGAGGAAAGCATCAGCTCCGCGGCCGCGACGGGCTTCATCTCATTGGAGAACTTCTCGTTGAAGGACAGCGACTTCATTCTGGACATCAACACCATTGTGCCACCGGCACCCTCATCGTGGCTGCGGCCGGGGGTGGTATTCTCTGGCTGCCAACGGGCTGCGAATGCGGGATGTTCTGTACTGTCCCAGCGCGTGCAAAGTCCCCACACCCCCAGCGAGCCAGTGATCGTCAACGGTAGCGACAGCACCCGCATCAGTGTATATACTTCAACCGGGCGAAGGTATCTTGCCAATGCTCGGGATGAGAACTGGCCGGTCAAGGTCACAATTCACAGCATAAACTACACGGACATGACGTTGTCCGGTACCATGGAGGCCTACAATATTCCTGACAAGTCGTCACCAACCCACGACGCACATATCGTGACGTTTCTGGAGGGGGAAATCATCGATTTCAACAAGCACACCCTTGAGACCAAGAACTTCAAGGCGGATGCGGATATCGATAGTACATACTGGCGGGAACTGCAGCCATTCAAGGATCTGCCCGATTCTGAAATTGCCAAGAATCTCGTGAGCAAGAAATGGATTACCGAGCAATTGATTCAAGGGTGGATCCTGATGAGATGGAAAGGTAATTTCACATCCAGAATTTTACAAATCTTTCCGCAATGACTTAACTGACTCGATTTCAGAGCGATGCTTCATTACCCCTACCGATGCGCGTCAGGGTCTTACAATATCTGGCTTCTACTATATCTCACTCCGCCGTGAAGATGGCCACATCGAAGGCTTGTATTATGACCCGGGCAGCTCGCCTTACCAGCAGCTGTCTCTGAAACCGGACACGACGAAAATGGTTCGACCGTCCTACAACTTCCGCTAGGTTGATGAACCTTTTGCAACAGATAGGCCACCATCTGGATACTTGTTGCCGGTCGGTATTGGGCAGCATGGGGCTATTCAGGCCTTCTTTTGGGACATAGCTATGGCAATCTTACAAACTTTACGCCTCCTTGTGGTGTTTGGGGGAAACACTGCGGGACGATACTCCTTATTATGATCGACTATTGGCCTCTTCTTTATTTTATTTTGCATAGCTGGATGGAGTTGTATTGTGTATTCAGTCTACTGACACTGCACATGTCATGGAAAGGGTCTTTTCCCGGTCTTGTCTTTCTTGTTCATTGGATAAAGACACTGTTTCCTGCATTTTATAGCAACTCTTCACAATTTCATTGTATCAATCATTCTTGGATCCGAAAATCGGTCACTTTGATGACTCCACTGGGGCTTGGCATGCCAAACCCTCTCGCTTGCAGTTTCCTGCAGAGCGGTATAGACTCGGTGCGACTCAGTGCGAATCCAGAAAGTAACGAGAAGTGCCAACCGATTTCTGGCTATAATCTGGGGACGCGGGGAAAAGAGTGGAGAAAACGAAGATTGCACCTTTGGTTCTCACGGATCTCGCCTCGTAATAACCTCCGTTTCATACTGATAAGAGGCTGACTGGTCAGTGTGGATCATCACGATGCCTCGATTGCTATGCAGCAGGCTCCACGACCGCATGTACCTGCCCGATCCCACTACGCGATCTTTGCAGAGGTTACATGTAGCCCTGTCGATCATGGGATAACACGTTGTGATATTCCCACTAGTCTCTTGCATCGCAAGCTATCTTTCCCTGCAGGACAATGGTCCCACAGCCCACCCCACCGTACATACAGTATTTAATGAGCATCTCGTGGCCCCGGAATCGACAATGTCATTACAATTTACTCTTTCGTTAAAACCCCCGCGATGCATCTGCGCTGTGTCTCATTGTTGACGGCCGTCGCTAGCTTGGCTTTACAGCCTGCTGCTGCTGTACCCCACTCTCCTAGGGGCCAGGATGCTGGTACATGCAAGAAGACCACAGTTGCAATCTTGTAAGAATTGATTATTTGTCGAAGGCACGCGTGACCGATGAGCTAACACCATGAAGAGGAGGTGGAATTGCTGGGATTGCTGCAGCAGTAAGTACTTCTTGCTAGTCGAATTATTCCTGCCAAGAAATGTGTTCTGACTGCGCGTAGCAAGCATTGGCTAATGCCTCGGTGCATGACTTTGCTATTCTCGAGTACCGCGATACCATTGGTGGCCGTGCCTGGCATAAACCATTCGGCAAGGACAAAGATGGGAAGCCTTATATTATTGAGATGGGTGCCAATTGGGTACGTATGAGGCCTCTTCTGGTTTTAGGGAGAGCTTGCTAATGCGGACGAACTAGGTCCAAGGCCTTGGGAACCCCGGTGGTCCTCAGAATCCTATATGGAGCTTGGTAGATAATCATGTCCCTGTGTTCAAAAGCCCCAGAACCTATGATCTAACGAATGTCATAGGCCCAAAAATACCAGCTGAAGACCCAGTACTCTGACTATGACAATATCTCGACTTACAACGAGCATGGCTACAAGGACTACAGCCACCTCTTGAGCCAGTACGATGACGCATATGATATTGCCAATGCAAAGGCTGGAGAGATTCTTCTCAACAACCTGCAAGACCTGAGTGCCCAATCTGGTCTTGCCCTGGCTGGATGGAACCCCAAGAAGCACGACATGGAGGCCCAGGCTGTCGATTGGTGGAAATGGGGTTAGTAGGAATCATTGTCGTAATGAAATGGGGTGATTAGCTGATAGAAGGTCTCCACACCAGATTTCGAAGATAACTTTACGCCCTTGGAAAGCTCTCTCGTTTATGGTTGTGCTGGCGACAACCTAACCGTGAACGGATTCAGTGACCATGATAATTTTGTCCTTGATCAACGAGGCTTCAACACAATCATTAAAGGCATGGCTTCCGAGTTCATGGCAGAAAATGACCCACGCCTACACCTCAACACAGAGGTTACTGAGATTCAGTACAGCAAAGACGGCGTGACCATTCACAACAAGGATGGAAGCTGTGTGAGCGCTGCATATGCCATCTGTACTTTCTCTCTTGGCGTCCTGCAAAACGACGCGGTTAAATTTATCCCCTCTCTGCCCGAATGGAAACAAAACGCGATCCAGAAGTTTACTATGGGAACCTACACCAAGATCTTCATGCAATTCAACGAAACTTTTTGGCCCAAGAACACCCAATACTTCCTTTACGCCGATCCCGCTATGCGAGGCTGGTATCCCGTTTTCCAATCCCTCTCAATGCCCGAGTTCTTCCCAGACAGCAACATCCTCTTCGTGACCGTCACAAACGAGCTCGCTTGGCGCGCCGAGCGACAATCAGACGAAAAGACAAAACAAGAAATTATGGCCGTTCTCCGGAAAATGTTCCCAGACCGGGAAATCCCCGAGCCAACTGCTTTCCTCTATCCACGCTGGAGCACCGAGCCTTGGTCATACGGCAGCTACTCAAACTGGCCACCATCAACAACCCTAGAGATGCATGAGAACTTGCGTGCTAATACAGACCGGCTCTGGTTCGCTGGTGAAGCGACGAGTCCTACGTACTTTGGTTTCCTTCACGGGGCGTGGTTCGAGGGCCGGGATGCTGGGCAGAATATTGCGGCGATTATGCAGAACCGTTGCGTCAATGCTGAGTCGGCCAAGCTCCGCGAGTGTGGTCCCCGGAAACACTGGGAGACTCTGCATGGAACAACGCCATTGGCTGATTATAGTGCGCTGACCGGGTGGATGGTAGATAGCTTCCTCAACACAAACAGCGAGTAGACAGGCAAGGGCCCAGTATAGAAGTGAGATACCAGTGATAGCTTGAGACAACAATGACATTGGACTTATACGAATGATACTTTTGAATTATGAAAATTTGACCGTGAAACTGCGATAGGAGTGAACTCTACAAGTACGCCCTCGGGACATGTTGGAGGAGTAGGTCTTCATGCACTCGGAGTTGATTGACTTCATCAAATCTTCCCGGAGAGATATTTCTAGACTAGCAAATACCCCATAGACCCGTGCAGATCAATGTATTCCCCCATCATACTGCTGTTGTACGTTGTCATGCTAAAAGCAGTCACTATGAAGCTTGTGACCAAGGAGGACATATATCAGTTGTTGTGTTTAGGCAAGCCAATCGATTCGACATATTCCACTTTTCTTGTCAATCATTCACTGAAGAGAATGTCTTCCTCTTTTCTATTCTTGTATCTACTCTTTTTCGATGGACTCCCTAACTATGACGATTTGAGATTATCAATACTTCGACCTTGAAACACAAGTAGCTTCTTCCTTGTTCAATATGAACTGAAGAGCTTGCTCTTGTCTCTAAGCCATGGTCCATATTTCATGAATGCAAAGGGAATCGGTATCATCGCTACAGCGAGGCATCCAAGCAATGTGCAAGCCCACTGCACCCCCAAATTTTGAAACATCTGTTTGGAAAATAGTGGAAACCCAGCAGCGACCAAAGAGCGAAGTATAATGTTTGCTGCCACTGTCGATGCTGCCCTGTCAGAGTCGAGCTTGTTAGATTTGCGACTTCCGATCCAAGTGTAACGAAGGTGAGCTTACAGAGGCAAGTAGGCATCGACAAGGTAGATGAAGCATGGAAAGAAGACACACAAAACACCAAATCCAATAAAGCCTCCAGCGACAGTGGCAACGGCCCAGTGAATTGAAGGCGTAAAAGCAGTCCAACCAAACCTAAGAGGAAACAATAAATTAGCCGTAGGCCCTCTACCCAATATGCTTGAATCACTCACCAGAAAATTCCAGCAGAGAAGACTGGGGCCCCTAGCAAGGCCGGACGGAGACGCCATTCAGGGACCGGCAAGTTCTTATTTTCTGCCAATTTCTTCGCATGCATCGCATATTGGGAGATAATAAAGCTGCAAGCAAGTATTTGGCCAATGATGAGTGCAACAAAGGGTAGCCCGCTGACTCCAGGTTTCATGCCGTATATAGACTCGAAAACATACGGATATGCTTCAAGAAGCGCGTACACAAGTCCGTATATGAAGGACATGTACATTGACACCAAGAGGATAATCGGTTCCGTCACCAGCATTCTCAGTGGACGAGTGAAATATTTCTGGACGAGTGCCCCGGAGTCCACATCTAATCGTTCTTGTTTAGCATGGATTCCCCAGTTGCCTGTCTGGCGGCGAAGTTTGGCAGCCTTTTCAACGAGAATGCATGGCGCATATGTTTCCCGCAGCAAAAATATAGAGGCGACTCCATTAACAAAACACAAGATCGACGGAATATAGAGACACCACCGCCAGCCAAGTGAACTTGACACAATGAAGCCCCCCGTGAAAGGCGCACTGAAAGGTCCGACAAAGACCGTCAGGGCGTAAAGAGCAATTGCCATACCCCGATAGGTATTATCAAAGAGATCAGATAGTACTCCGGGTACGACGGTGAGCTGACTTGAGCCACACAGGCCAGCGAAGAAGCGGCATATGATGAGGGTCTGTATATCTTTCGCGACCGCAGACGCGATGGTGAAAATACCACCGCCGAGTATTGAAATAGTAAGAGGCCATTTGCGTCCTTTCAGCTCCGACATAGGTGCCCACAATATAGGCCCTGCAGCAAATCCGAGCACGTATAAACTTGTACCCAGTGTACCAACTTCAGATGCAACTCCGAACTCTCTGCTAGCTTGATCGGTCCCTGGTGCGAACACGGCGCTGGTAAATGACACGATAAATGTTCCACTGCAGACAAGGATGGAGATTAATAGCCTTGTTGTGTTTTAAAGTCAGAAGTTAGTATGATAACTGGCACTGAAAGGGCAACATACTTGATAGTGAACTTCCAGTTGTATGGGTGCGCGGGATCGTTTATCCCGTCGAAGTCAACAACATAATGCTCGGAATCAGGGAGTATTGGAGGAGCTGGTCGGCCCATGCCCATGGAAAGCTTTTCAGCCATGGAATTTCGGTCAGAAAAAACTGCTCGATGTTGATTTTGGTGGATGAATCGACTATGCTACGCTGTGTCCGGCCAACTGGGCACGTTGCACTCGGTGTGTAGAGAAGGGGCGTGATCTGTGAAACTGACTTCTGGAATGAAGAGAGAGAAAAGCTGCTTTAGAGATCCATGGCGTACAAATACTTTCGGACCACTACTTTCTTACCCCTTCACATGGGGTATATACTACCAATGCTGAACGGAGCTTGGGTGTGGTTTGCGGCAATTGCGGGATCTCAACCGCGGGGGGTTGTGCCGTATTGTTTAGTGTTTACAAAACAACCAACAGATACACCTAGTAAAGCAAGTCTTCGGATGACACACATTTAATTATGGGGCAAGCAGCTAAATTCACCAGCACGACAGAATTCATCAAGGTCTTGCTTTGCTGGTAGTCAGCATGGAGAAATCCGAGCATCTTATCCCGAGCCACCAAGCAACGGGGTATCGATCATATCTGCGTTCAAGAACTGATCAAGATCAATCCTTTGAAGACCAGGCAAATCAGCTACAAGAGCACCCAGCCATGAATACTCCTCGGAATTAGGATCGAGTTGTGGCGGCGATTCGAGTGAATTCTCCTGCTGATGCACATTCAGGGCCTCTCCGAGGACCGCAAGGTCATCTTTTCTACGCTGTTGATGTAGCATTACAAGCAAACAGGCTGCTCTGTAAGCCTCCCTCATGGTATCGGTATCATATGTGGAAGCGACCAGCTCGATGGTCTGCATCGCCTCCGGGAGCATGGCAAGGGAGGAACGAGTGTCCATCACAAGGAGGACGCAGATGATGTGAAACGGCACGTTGGCGACCTGATGCCATGGAGAGCAGTCCATGACCATACCTCGTGCGCAACCAAGCCCTTTCTTCAATAACTGCAACACCTTGGCCGCGAGCTCGGAAGGTATATCGAGGTTTTGGGTATGGATGCGTCGAAGAATACAGAGAACGAGATTGCACTGCGCCATAACTGATGGCGGCTGGGTATGAGTTCCTTCCAGAACGCTGGAAAGTGTGGATGTGAAGTCCGTCTCATCTTTCGTCCTGCCCGGATCAAGGCTGACGGAGACTGGGAGGAGGCGGAGAAGCTCGACTGTACAGTCACCGGGCTTTGGGGATGGAAGCGCCGGGAGATCATTCTTCTGGAAAGAGACCCTCGAGAGGCCGAGGTCATAAGAAGTCCACACGTTCAGATGGTGTGCAACACCAACAAGCCGTCTCTGAATATCTGGATCGCACTGCACTCTCGGCGGCAGGACCGAATGCGACTCTGGGTGGAGTCCCGAAGCTTCGACTAGGTGCATCAACGTCGAGCTGGCAATCCACGTCGAATGTGGTGAATCTGTCATCCGTAAATAAATAGACCGCAAAGTCCATCCTGTCAACAGATCAATAGACGGAGGGCCAGAGAGATGCTGCATATCTAGTACGGCCCGAGCTGTCCGAATGAGATGCTGCTCCGTGATTGTAGCATCTCTCAATGAGAATAAACACCCGATAGCCGCCACGCCTGCTAGTGTACTATCGTAGATGTCCCATAGAAGGGGAGATTTCCAACGAAGATCTAGTCGTTCGAAAAAGACACCCCGATCAATAAATCCATAACATGGGTGGACCTTTTCGAAATAAACCACAGCCATAGCCTTCATATGATCAAGCGCTGCGATCTCTACAATCGGCAACGTTGAAGTCGAAGTGATTGGAGATGCCGGTTGTCTGGTGCCAATATTCCAGCTGAATAGATTGAGCTTGGGTGCTTTGGCGGGATCGATCTTGAGGCCAAGCTTCCTGACAAACGCGGCTCCTGAATTGGCCTCCATGCGTCGCACCAATCCACCGCGGTCGACCTCGTCGGCCTCGACGGCTTCGGAGATACTTGGCCCAGAGGCATTCTTTGGTGGAGACTGGGACCTGGGCTGAGAATCTGGATTGGGATCCCTCACCTTGTGGGATCTCGGCCGGCGTACAAGATAATAACACTCATAGCCCCATGACGTGCATGTACAACAGGGTTCACGCCCATCACATTTTCTTTTCCGCTCTCTGCAAGGTATACACGCTACCAGGGCCCGTTTTCGCTTTAGTGAATTCGGAGTCTCCAGTGTTGTCTCCATTCTGATGCGGCCTCAGGGGACGGTGATGAGGTGCTCGCCGTGGCTCGGATGGAATGAAAGGTGGATGTTGCGGGTGTTGCGGCTTTTACGGGGTTAGCGGGCAGAAACGTCATCGTCATTTTGAGCCCCGTCAACCACAATGAAGGTCATTGCGGGAAGTCAGACGCGACTGTATTACTCACACCCCTATGCCTCGGTAAAAGCAGGTTGTTAGACTCTCATGATTCATATAATTCCCACCTTCTTCCCAAAAGAACATATTCTGAAAGTCATCTGAGACACCAGCAATGGCGGCCAAGTTGTTCTCCCACTATGCCTGGGCCACCAGCCCCTTCATCGTAAGCGCGCCAATGCGGGTCATGTCCGGCCCAGCCCTGGCTCTCGCAGTGTCCAAAGCAGGTGGGCTGGGCTTTATCGGCCCCGGGACCAAGACCCAGGACACCGAAGTTGATCTTGAAGAAGCATCGAAGTTAGTGGAGCAGACACGGGCGTCCTCAGCCGTCTTCGACAAATTGACGCCAACTAACTCTGTATTGCCTGTCGGTATTGGTTACCAGCTTTGGGGAGACGACCTAAATGTGGCTGTCGCTACCATCGGACGTTTCAAGCCTTGTGCAGCCTGGCTGTACGCTCCCAAACACAGCCCGAAGGAATTCGATGACTGGTCTCGCCGGATCAGACAAGCATCCCCAGAGACTCAAATTTGGATTCAGGTCGGTACTTTGAAGGAGGCAAAGCAGCTTCTCACAAACTCCGAGAAGCCCGACGTCGTGGTCATTCAGGGCGCGGAATCTGGGGGTCATGGACGGGCGAAGGATGGAATGGGCCTTATGTCTCTATTTCCCGAGATTGCAGATGCCATGGAAGGTAGTCAGATCCCTCTGCTCGCAGCAGGTGGTATTGCTGATGGACGGGGTGTCGCAGCAGCGCTGTGTCTGGGTGCTTCGGGTGCGGTGTTGGGGACACGATTTCTGGCTGCGAGCGAAGCACGCATTAGCAAAGGATATCAGAATGAGGTTGTTCGAGCCTCCGACGGGGCTGCTTCCACGACACGAACTCTGCTGTATAACCATCTTCGCGGTACGTTTGGGTGGCCAGCCGAGTACAGCCCCAGAACGATTATCAACAAGTCATTCATTGAGCATCAAGCTGGCCACACCTTCGATGATCTCAAAGTGCTCCATGATGAGGCTGTGAAGAATGGTGACAGTGCCTGGGGACCCGAGGGCCGTGTTGCCACGTACGCAGGGGCTTCAATCGGACTGATACATGAGGTTGCGAATGCTGGAGATATTGTTCATGGGCTGCAGAAGGATGCTCTTAAGCGGATACAATCAGCTGGTTCTAAGTAAATCTGATAATGCATCATATCTCGTTCCAAATCTACCGCCGGCATACTGTCAGTTTCGACCCAAGGTTCTGGTTGGGTGACTGAGGCCAACAGCATCTGGTGGTAAACAAAATTCTCGTTGAGGAAGGCACGATGGTGTTCGTCCCAGAAGGGAAGGCACGATATCGCCGGACATAAATATCTCCTCCTCCCCAACCCTCTCCCAAAATTTCTTCTTCCTTCAACTCCCCACTACCTCACCACTTTCTCCACTGATCCCTCAACCTTCTTTTGACCCACTCCCTTCTCTGTTCTCTCCCCATCTACTGGCCCTTACCCACTTGGACTTCAACCTTCTTGAGACATCATGTCTTTCTTCGACCAAGACCTCCTGGCCTTTGAAATATCCTCATACTCTTTCATTCCTTCGACTGAGTCTCCCAAGTACGTCTCTTGGCCCTTCTTTTCCATTCTGAGATTTTTTTTTTCTAATCCTCCCAAGATTCTTTGAAGTCTCTCTTCTCTTGACGTCGTGTAGACTCAGTCTCTTCCACTGGGTGGTTCATGCCTGGTGTACTCCGTCCTCCGAATCTCATTCTCTGTCAAGAACACGTCCACAAGACACGTCCACATCATGACACGTCCACATCATGATACGTCCACATCATGACACATTCACGCCATGACATGTCAACACCACGACACATACACAACACATGGAACATGTTCACCTACCTTTTACCCTGTGGTCCGCCATCATCATGGCCCTCCATCATTTGATGGCATGCAGAGTCGAGCACAAAGGTATTAACCCATTCACTGTCTTCACCGACCTCGACTCAGCTAACTGTCTAGTCAGGAGCCTACACTAACGTTCTTGAGTGAGCCTCGGTGACCATGAACTTGGTATCGAGCCTGTGTAGGGCGTGGTTGACCGCAAATCTACAACAAGTCTCCACTGCCACACATCTCAGCCTCCATCGCGCAGACTCTGTTGGAAGATACTAACTCAACAGATCAAAATGACCAGCATTTTTGCCACACAGCTCAGCCCCCTCTTTGATATTCCACGGGCACCATGATTAACCTCCATCAACCTTCATGAATCATCAGTCACAGGGTATATTACTGACCTCATCATGAATACATTGGATATCATTCTAACTGTTGCTTTTTCAGGTCAATTTTACAACACCCTCTGACAAGTCTTCGTCCACACACCGAAGCAGCTACACCTCAACAAAGTCTCAACCCACATACAATCAAGTTTCCGCCCTTTAAATGCAGACATTAGACCGAGTGTTGTGAAAGGAGAGGAAAATGGCACAAATGTTTATACTCTGAATCTGCAAGCATCACTTTAAGTAAAAGACGCAACTGAAACTTGATTTTATATTATAGCCACGCTTGTGGCAGACAATAATTGTGATCCTCAAAGTGAAGAAGCTCAATAATAAGATCTACTCCACCTAGATGGCCTCTGAAAATAACTCGCAATCTCGGTGCGACTAAGTATTCCTGTTCGATGATTGAAAGTCCGATGGCACAATAAAGAGGTACCGAGTTGATCAAGTCTTTAACTGCTTATAACCAGAAATAACGCAAAGTCCCAAGTGTTGCAAAGTGCTATTGCTATGGACGACACGTTTTTTGCACTTATCAACAGGGCCAGAGCCACATTCCTTTTTTAGAAAAGAAGCGCTTTATAAAGTGGCGATGATGGTTTGAGTTTGTCCTAAATGATTGAATTCACATGTACAGATATAGAACGGAGTATTCATTATTGCGCTATTAATACATACGGAGATTGTTGTTATGATGCAGTGAGCAGCTTTCGTCGAACTCATCACGATCGAAAGCAGTCAGATGCAAAATGTACCAGTTTCGCCTCAATGCATCACATCGAACCAAACACCTCCAGCAACCATGCATCATCAAACCCATTCATCGGCAAGATGTCGGCGAGAATCGCTGGGTTCGGTGGATCAAGAGTATTCTCGACACCATTGGAGGGTAGAGTCGGATACCATATCTCCATCAGCTTTGGCTCCCATCCCTCTTTGATGCACTGAACCATCGTCTTCCCCTTTTCGAAGATATTCCATTCTGGCTGGTGGGGGACAGAGAGATGTTCGGCACATTTCTTCATCATATATGCCATTCTGTCGAGGTACTCGAGGACATTGGCCGTGTTCCGTACAAGGGCCTTGTCCCAGGCAGGGTCCTCGAGGATGGACAGTCTGTACAAAGTGACAAGAACGCGGGAAAATTGGAAGTAGAGGGTGAAGGAGACGGTCATGTATTTTTCGGTGGGCACAGATAGCCAGAGATCCAACCAAGATTTCGCTGCCTGAAGAGAGGTATAGAGACTTTCCAGCCTATGCAATTCTGGCGAGTTGGGTGTTGACGGTGCTCGGAGGGCGACTTCGTGGATAGTGAGTTCGGCGTTGGCAAGGTAAAAGAGAATTGACCCTTCAATATTGTCAGCACAGCCCAAGTCGAGGGAAAGTAGAACGAGACGTACTATCCTGTTGTAGGTGACTCGGAATTGAGCTCTTCACAGATTCCAGCTGTGATTGGAACGCTTTAGTGTAGAATGTGGATGAGTAGTGAGTGTCTCCATCCCGCTGTAGATGGTACGCTTTATCCATGACTAGATGGATCTTGACAAGTGAGACCAGACGCTCATCTTCGGGGCATTCCTTGGCATTCATCAAAATAGAGAGGGATTCTTCCATATGTGGATTCCATCTGAGAGCGTCAATTCTGGACGTTGTCACGGCAATGCTAAAAAGAGAAGTGTCAGCGGTTTCCATATAATTCCAGAATAGAGACGAATTATTGTATACCTCGAAGTGATCAAGAAGCAACCCAACGCTGCTCGTCGTTCTTCCATTGTTCTTGGGGTAGAAATATTTTGCTTGAAACCAACCGCACTCTTGAAGGCTTGCATTGTGGAATTTTCAGTTGTAACCGCTTTGTTGATACCAAGATCACAAACAAGGCCCATGACTAAATGAGCATAGAAGTTGAAAGAGGGCTTTCGAGTGTAGGTAGTCCTACATCAGATTGAACATTAATATGATTCATGAGAGTAGAATAGCAAATTGAGCAGGTGATTCGACTTACCATGACATAAACGTCATGATTCCCAGCAGCATGTCCATGCTTGATGCAACTTCGACGAGTAACTTTTGATGAATGAACTGGGTGATTTTCAAGAAGACGGATTCTCTCTGAAAGCTTCCCGGTGCGATGACTGCCATAATACATAGCCAGAAAAATGGCTTTTCTTGCCGTAGTTGTTGTGAGGTCATATGCGGAGGAATATGCACGTATGGGAGATACTTCATATTCTCTGTCCGGAAGAGGGTGAGAGTCTGCTCGGCCATCTCTGGAGAAAGCGGAAGAGTAGCACAGAGCTCCTCTATTGCGTTGCTACTTCGAGGTGGCGACGCTGTCGCTGGTGGGGTAGGAATACCCTCGGAATGAAGATTACATGATGAGGCACTGGCTTGGCTTTGCGCAATGTGTTGGCCAGTGGCTGGTGATGTGGAATCCCAATCGGTGGGAATGCCGGTGGATGCTCCACTAGTCTGGAGTAATGATACAATGCTATCAAGCTTCGCTTCCAGCTGGGCGGTTCTCGAAGCAGAAGAGCGCCCATTTCGCTTTCGCACGGTTGGCGATGGCCGGCATTCCTTATTCAGTCGCTGACATCTAATGGCTATCAGTCCATCAAGCTTTTATTTTTACGATAGCATTACTCACCTCTCGCAGCCATTTCCACTGGCAAGGAGAATACACTTGCTCTTGGCACGAGAGCAGTTGATGCAAGCCCGGCCATAGGGGGCCGGGGTCCCACTTTGGACTTGGTTAAACGCCATTCCGATATCCGACCGTTAGGTTGGAGTTCGGGTAGGACAGAGCATATGCCACGCAGGACTTTGCAAGCAGTGGGTTTAAGTGGATCGAGCGCCACAAGGAATTCACTAGAACATATAGCCGCTGCCGATAGATCAGGAGATAAAGATAGGGGAAATTTCTCAACACTCAACGGGCAAGAAGACTTGTCTTGAACGATCGGTCGGGATTGAAACGTCGAAGCCCGATGGACTTGTAAATCTCACCCTCTGAAAGGCTGTGACTAAGCAGGCTTTAACCTGGTCCTTGGGCAGGTAATTAGAGAGCTTGATTTACTTAAGCACTTCCCTCCAGTATATTCCATAGAGTATATAGATCTAGCGTATATCCGAACCTAGTGCAAGTGGCCATAGGTAAAAAGTAACATTCATCGCCCGTTTCAACCCACGAAAGGAGAGTCTCATCAACATTTGGTGAGTTCAAAGTACTATGACTTGCACTAGCCAATAGAATCCTTCTTTTTTTTTCTATTCACCCGAGTCCGACGGCCTTTCTGCCTAAGGGATCAATTCTATGACGAATAAAGAGGGTTTTGCTATACGAGCTTTTCGCTTGATATATTTCGGTGAGTCATAGGTTAACTCAGCTCCAATTGTCTGACTCAAATGCATCATGCCCATCTTACAAGAGTCTGACAGCTTGAAACGCGCGAGCCTTGTCGGAATTCGGGATTCGGAGTTAACCAACTCCCCGCTCGACAGCTTCGAATCTTCTCAAGTATGGCCATAAACAGTAGGCAAAAACTCCGGTTTACCACATACGATGGTGAACCCCTGTAACACCGACGACTTCTTGCAGCTCTTCCAATGTCTGCTCATTACTTTCGAAGGAGTTAAGAATTTAATCACCGGCCATTTCCCGTATAAGATAGTGTAGCGCACTCTCAATGTAAAACTTTGTTTTGCTCTCTCTAGTTTCCCAAGCTATCAAGGTACAAGGCTCTGGCAAGCCACGCTACTTCAATATGGACGACAAAGACTCGAAGATCTGCGATTCAGAAATTGCGACGAAGGAGCAGCAATCGAATCCCCAAGAAACTTCAAAGAAGCTTGGCTCAGACACCAGCTCGACGGGCGAGGCAGCGGAGGAGGCTCTAAAAATAACGCCAGAGTCTATCAAAAATGAAGAGCGGGAGTATATCACAGGGTTGAAACTTGGAATGGTACTTGTGGCTGTCACTTTGGTCTGTTTCTTAGTACTGCTCGATACTTCTATCATTGTAATCGTGAGTTGCCCTAAGGGTTGGCGTCTGGAGGTTCCTTTTTTGGTAATTCTGACGCTTCTAGGCAATTCCCGTGATTACAACCCAATTTCATTCTCTGGAGGATTTGGGATGGTATGGCAGCTCATATCAAATTGCTAGGTACGTCGTTCAGATTTATTCGGCGCGTAGGCATGCATGTTGACACAGCAACCAGCGCTTGCTTGCAACCTCTAGCGGGAAGAATCTATACAAACTTCCGCACAAAAGTGAGTCCCTTAAAGGTCTTTGGTCGCACTTATTCTAATTCGGATGCAGTGGGCGTTTTTGTCCTTCTTTTTCGTTTTCGAACTAGGCTCGCTTCTGTGCGGTCTCGCGACATCTTCGAAAATGTTGATCGTTGCTCGCGCAGTAGCAGGACTCGGATCTGCAGGATTAATCAATGGTTCATTGACTATTGTTTCATCCTCGGTTCCTCTCCATAAATCGCCTCGTATGTTCCTCACAGCTTCGATGTTGATCTCCAACTAACGAACACCACAGCACTGATTGGAATAATGATGGGATGTAAGTATTTCCCTCTAGTCCTCGGGCTGCATCTCAAGTGACCACTGTCTAGTTTGTCAACTCGGGGTGGCCCTCGGTCCTATCTTGGGAGGTGCATTTACCGAATATACAACCTGGAGATGGTGTATGTCCAGCCCTTAGTTCCCCGAGAGACAGAAAAAAAGCGAGCTCATCTATTCGTCAAACAGGTTTCTACATTAATCTTCCAATCGGTGCCTTGGTCGCGTTCCTCCTCGTCTTCATCGATATCCCCGATCAAGCGGCTAAACCCCCATTCAAGCAAGTTTTCAATACGATAACCCACAAGCTCGACCTCACAGGCTTCGTTCTATTTGCACCAGCCGCGATCCAACTTCTCCTCGCACTTGAATATGGCCAAAGCCAGTACTCATGGAACAGTGCAACTGTTATCGGTCTTTTCTGTGGAGCGGGAGGCACCTTCATCCTCTTCTTGCTCTGGGAATACCGTCAGGGCGATCAAGCAATGATTCCCCTTTCAATGGTTGCAAAGAGGAACGTCTGGTCAAGTTGTGGGATGATGATGTCTATCTTCGTTGTCCTTTTGTGCACTACGTACTATCTTCCCGTCTACTTCCAGGCCATTCAGAACAAATCACCCATGCTGAGTGGTGTATACCTCCTCCCGAGTATCTTGTCACAACTTGCGGTGGCCGTCACATCTGGAGCTTTGAGTAAGTGCTTACTGTATCCTCTAGGATGTCAACGATGCGCGTATACTAACAACTGTCCAGTCGGGAAAATGGGGTATTACCTTCCATGGGCTGTAATTTGTGGAATTCTCATATCCATTGGCGGCGGTCTTCTATCGACGTTGACCCCGACCACAACCACCGGAAAATGGGTTGGATATCAAATCCTTGCCGGAGTTGGCCGTGGAGCTGGCTTCCAGACTGTAAGGGTATCCCATCATCATCATGATACGTGGGTCTGCTAAACTTTGGCTTCTTACATAGCCGATCATCGCCGTCCAAAATACACTACCTCCCAGTCAAATATCAATAGCCATGTCGATTCTCATGTTCATTCAGACCCTTTCCGGCGCCGTCTTCCTCACGTTTGCGGATGTGATCTTTTCCACTGGCCTGAAGTCCCTGATACCGAAGTACGCACCCGATGTTAGTCCACAAGTCGTTATTGCCGCAGGTGCCACTGGTATAAGGGACGTGGTGTCTGTTCAGAACCTGTCCGGGGTCCTGAAGGCTTACGCAAAGAGTGTGGATCACGTCTTCTACATGGTCGCTGCGATGGGAGTGTGTGGATTTATCTTCTCTTTTGGTATGGGTTGGAAAGATGTTCGAAAGAAAAAGCCTGCAACTGAACAGGTTTGAGGGATTGAGTCGATGAATTTTCTCCACTCACTGCTTGATGAAAGCGCTTCATTGATACTGCGTATAATATAGGGACATTTACATGATCATAGAATAAGGCTCGTAATGTAGAGAACGCGATCAGTGTTTCCGACGTCGTGAACAAAATGGAGCTGGCACCACCCCGGGCTTGTGTCGAGACAATCAATGCTGTTGGAATTGAATCACTCTCAAGTACGACATGCTGCCATCGGCCATGAAAATGATGCGAGGACTAGTGAGGTGATGCGAGCGAGGCCCAAGGCACTCAAGAAAACAGACTTTGTCATGATTGTCCAGGCAAGAGTACAAAAATGGTCGTTCGCTACTCATGCACCTTCTAGTTTACTGGGAATCTACGACCGAAGAAAAGTTGTCATCACATCATCGTGTTTTTGTCCAGTAGATAATAGCCGCCCAGATGCCACAGTACCACACCCGAGCAAACGGGTCTAGCACAGAGAGTCTGCTAACAGACACCGAGAATTTCCAGAATACCACAAACAACAAGTCCGACTAGCCGTAGCGGCCAGACCATATTTGAACAGATCCCTCAAAATCCTCCGCAATCGCCCATCAGCGAATATCCCTCATTGAGCGAGCACCTAGAGGCGTCCATCCCTCCTAGATCGACAGCAACGACCTAATCCATGAAATTGGGCTAGAGGCGCATTTACTGCTCGGTCTGGAAGTAGTTGAGGAGGACGGAGCGCTCCTGGCTGTCCTCACCCCAGTCCTTGACGACGACGCAAGAGCAGTTAACGACCTTGCGGGCGTTACCCTCACGGTCAAGGGTGCCTGTAAGAAAGCGCGTTAGCAAGATTTCCTTGCCTCCATGCCTCCAATCAAGCCAAGCTTGAGATGATATTTTTGGGGGAAACTTACAGAGACCGACCCACTCGCCGAGCATCTTTCCATCGGGAACCTTGATCAGGGGGATCTTGTGCTCGGAGCAAAGAGCGACGACCAGCTTCTTGTAGGCCTCCTCCTCGCAGCCCTCGTTGAGGACACACATGTGAGCCTCGCGGCGGTCGAGGGCCTTGGCAGCCTCGCGCAGACCACGGGCAAGACCATCGTGGATCAGGGAGATGCGGAGGACACCCTTGAGAGCGTCGAGGACGGACATCTGGCCGGAGCCAGCGTCAGCGGAAACCTCGACCTCATCGGCGGCAACGGGGGGGTTGGACTGGGTCTCTTCTCCGTCCGACTGTAGAAAACATTGTTAGCGTGTGGTTCCTTGGGGCTTTTCAGGTGTTATGTGTTTGTGCTGAAGACGATTGAGGATTGGATTGAGTATCCCAAGACACCATTGCGTTTCCCTGCATCCGGGGTTGACTTCCAGGTGCGCCAGCGAGGTGTCGGGGACACCAATGTCCGTACATGGTGATATTCAAACCCGAATCCTCATATCGTGTGTGCGATTGGCGATTGGTATTTGGGAACAAGGTGTAGATTCGGAGATCAGCGTACCATTTTGTTGTGTAGGTATGTTCGATTTAAATGTCGAATTATCCTCGAAGAGTTAGTTTTGAGTGATGGAAGTAGAGGCGCTGGGAAATTTTCGGTGGGGATTTGGGCTCTTTCGGCTGTGTGTGCCCTACAATTATGTCATCATCACGTGATAAAACATGCACCCGCCACTTCCCCCATTCGGATGTGTACATACTTCCTCGTGAGTTCCCATGGACATTTTGTTGCTTCGGCGTTTAGTAATAGGGACTAGCTATCTACTGTACTAATTCTAACACAATGCAGTAAATGAGGCGATTATCGCTAGATCGGATTTAAGCTACCGAATAAGATAGATTCGTTACATGAACACAAGAGGTATCATAATCGTACATTCGGAATCCGCTCTTTACATCACCACATGGAGATCTGTGGATTGCACCTGCGCCTAATAGCGAGTGAGTCTGCAAAAAAAGGGACATGGAGGAAGGCGAGGAACTAGAAATATGTACCGGGTCGAGGATAGCCAGGGCCATGGCCGTTGAGAGCCCCAATGCCGTTAGTTCCTACGGTAGAAGGACCAGTTGTGGAACCATTGGTCTGGTGGGGGTTGCCTGCGGAGGGCTCTGGGTCAAGGTGCATGCTCACGAACTCAAGCTCGAGGCCGTTGAGATGGGGGATGTGTGGAACGAGGTCCATAAAGTCAGAGAGCTAGGACATGGATTAGCATGATGCAGATAGATCACTGGTTGGGAGACGGCTTCGACTTACTCTGATCCAAAAGACATGTTCCATCTCGAAATACTTAGGTCGCGTCTCGCAATCTAGCTGCATGACTTCTCCAAATGATGCATTGTGATATTTCGGATCGTCGGTGTAGACCAACATTCGGCGAGTGCATCGCCAGAGATTCATGCGTTGGGTCGCGGTTGCTTTGCGTTTCTCCCAGCTGGCATCTGTAATAATGATGTTAGACACCGAAATCAAGGTTGAACAGATTTGCGTAAATCAAAGGGAGACTTACATTGGGAGAGTTGCAGGTCATTGGTAGCCAGCAGGGGGGCGACCAAGTAGTTCGGGATCCATCTCTCGACCGCCACATCACTAGCACAGTCAGGGTCCAGCTGTCGAGTGACTACAGTAACCAGAGGCAAGAAATTCTTGAGCCAGGAGTGACTCCGCGCGCGGGAATCGTTGGAACCGACAAAGTTGGCAGAAGCGCGTAAGCGGCCAGGGAGAGCATCACGACGGCGTTGCTCTTGAGCTTCCTGGTCACGGCGCATCTTGATCACACGAGCTCGCTCCTGTTCCAGTCGCTTCTGGCGCTCATCTTCGGCTTGCTTGGCCCGGCGCTGCTCCATTTCTTTGCGCTTGCGTTCGTCCTCTTCGGCCTTCTCACGTGCAGCTTGGGCAGCCCTTTCCGTTTCTTCCTTGGCCAGACGAGCACGTTCGGCAGCTCTTTCCGCTTCTTCCTTGACCAGACGAGCACGCTCAGCCTCTTCCTCACGGCGCTTCTCCTCAGCAACACGTTCTTCTTCCGCCTTCTTCGCTTCAGCTTGCCGACGCTTCTCAGTAACAAGCTCTTCTTCTGCCTTCTTCACTTCAGCTTGCCGACGCTTCTCAGCTTCAAGCTCAGCTCGCTTATCGTCTATCGAGACTTCGGGAATAGAGTTGGGAGTAGGTTCGGAAGGCTCGGTCTTCACGTCTCCATTCTTCTTGATCGAATCGGAGTCATTTGACTTCTGAGAAGATGTGTGTTGTGAATGAGAAGATGGTCCGCTTTGGTGAGATGAGGGGTCGGGTTTCTTTGAGGTCTCAGTTGACTTGCGTGGCGCAGGATCGGTGCCTTGTAAGGTTTCCTCTTTCGGACGACGATGTTGAGGTTTGTCTCCGTTCGTATCTTCTGCTTTTCGGGAAGACCCATTCGGCAGGTTTGGTACCTTCTCTTCCAACAGCACACGGCGCTTCTTCTTCCGCGCGTCCGGTGACAGGCGATCGCTATCCCCATCACGCGAGCGAGATCTTTCAGGAGAAGTATCGGTTCGAATACGTTTGAGAGATATGGAGTCGGGAGGGTTATCGCGTGACCTGGGAGCTTCTTCTCGGCCAGAGAGAGAATCAGAGGAAATGAGGCTGGGTCGTCGATCACCGTCTTGCGGGCGACGCCCAGCAATCAGGCGTCTCTTCCGAACTTCATCAGTTCGAGCGACCCCGCTGGACTCACTGCCTCTTCGTGTCGAGAGCGGAGCCTTGGGCTTCTTGGACTCTGGTCGACCTGAATCATGATCAGAGCTGGCAAGCGCATTGTCATGCGCATCTCTGCTGTCCCGTGCGTCCCTCGAAGTGGTCTTTGTGCGACCGCTGGCTGCCGCGGCTGCAGCCTTCTTCTCTTCGCGGCGCTTCTCCTTCAGGGCGTCATGTTCCTTGGGGAACCGTTGGCGGTTGGTGTTGGGACTGCTGTCGTTGAGCTTTTTCGTGCGAGCCACGGGTGAAGAAGACTCCCTGCGGGCGCTTCGTTTCTCTTCCTTGTCCTTGCCACGGGCACGGCGCGGGGACGACAAATCCTTCCGTCCCTTTCCAGAGCCCGAGTATTTCTCGTACGCCTTCTTCAAGATATCATATTCTTCCTCCCAATTCTCACCTTGACGGGATCGCGAAAGTTCATAGTAAGTTTTGTCTTCGAAAAGTCGACGAGTCGGATCGAAACCAGGCTGACCCAGAATGAGCTGGATGTTATCCATATTACCTCGACCTATGGCAGCGAGCATGGGAGTGTTGTAGCCCGGTTTATGGCCAGATCCGCGCAGTGGATTGGGATCCGCATCTGCATCGCCAATGGCGTACATGAGAGACAGCACGTCAAAGTGGCCACCCTTGGCAGCAGCGATCAAGGACGCATTGTCGGCCTTTTGCAGAATATTCAAGATGCTCACAACGCCCTGCTCGTCACCCTTGGCGGCAAACTCGCGCAAGTTCTCGGAGGTCGGCTGAGTCCACAACAGGTCATTGCGGGTTGCTTCGCTTCGACCAGTCTTGCGACGACCAGTTGTGCTCGCCATCGGTGGTGGACTTCGAGAAGGACTGGCTACGGATGCCCGTCGGGACCGCGGGGGCTTGTCAGGTCCAACCTGCTCTTCAGATCGTCGTCCAGGGCGCGAATTTGCCTTGGCGTCCGCGAGCAGCTTCCGGATCTCATTATATTCATCATCGGTGAGATCCGTCGGTACTAACTCATACGGTTCGTCTCCCAAGGCATTCACGGTTCGAGGGTTGGCACCTGCATCGAGCAGCAGTTTCACGACGTCTACATTCCCATTCTCCACTGCATCAATCAAAGGGGTGTCCTTATCAATGTTCTTTGTGTTGATCTCACAGCCCGCATCCAGCAGGAACTTCACAATCTGTTCCTCGCCGTTGAGTGACGCGACCTGTAGAGGGGTATTACCGGCGTTGTCCGGGACATTCAAATCCTCCGGACGCTCACCATAGCGCAAAACCACCTGGTCGTATTTCCTGTCTGCGCATGCGCGTGCGAGAGGAGTGCGACCGCTCTTGTCGCGCAGTTTCTTCGGACCCATATGCTTCGCAGCGGGGGATGCCGACGCCCCCACGCCAGAGCCCAACTTCCGAAGATGAGCACTGGGAAGCGGAGAGCCACTAGCGGAGGAAGAGGTCGATTGGCGGTCCTCGGAGGGTTGGCGTTGAAACCCAGTCAGAAGAGGGGCTGGAGCTCTCTTCTTGGATGGCAGGTGGGAGCCGGACGAAGACCGTTGGTGGGAAGATCGACCAGGCGACACCGAACGGGCACTCGCGGACGGGCGGGAAAGGCGAACATGGTTGAGATGCTTGAGATCGCGAGCAGCATGCGAAGTCGAATCGCGGCGTCGGTCCCTCTTTTCATCCACACTATCACTGAAACTGCGCTTCCGATAGACGCGCGGTCTCTCGGGGCCATCATTGATACTACCGCTCTCATCCATTACATCCCGCGAAACTGATGATACGTCATCCACCTTCTCGACTTTCACAACCGACGGGGGTGAGCCCGCTCTGTCTAGCGGGCTCCGCGCCCGTGAGACACGTTCCTCTCCGTCACGATCAATGCGCGGTTTCTTCCGTTGTTGAACCCCGTCCACTCTATCAACGCCGTGGCGATTGGGATCATGTCTGATGTGTTTCCTTTTCTTCTCTGGCGACAGAGATTCTCGACCAGATTGAATGATCGTTTCGGCCTCCGAGTCCGCCTTGGGACTTGGTGGACCCTGCTCGTCATCCTCCTCATCCACCGGATGCGATCCAGCGCTCTCTCTTCGGGGGGAAGCGGGTACGACAGGGACGGCCGGTTTCGATGCAGCTACCGGTGCGGCAGTAGAGGGTGCGGCAGCAGCTGTGGCAGGGGTAAGTACCGGCGTTGCAGCCTTGACCTTGCAATCGGGAGACAAGGGCCGTCCCGATGGACGCGTGTCCGCATCGCCATCCGTCTTCACCGCCGCGAGAGTGTTGTTGGGACCGACAGCAAGGGCAGCGGGGAGGGAGACAGGCTCGACATCACTCATAGCGATAGCACTCGATGAGGGAGGATTCCGCTCGTCATTTTGGGAGGGACGCGACAGGCCTGAACGACCGAACTCGGACGACAACGCCAGCAGTGGGTACGCAGGCGCTGCTCACGGCCACAAAAGCGATGAAAATCCAGTAATCCACGGGTTCCAAAAGAATCAAAGGTTGGCGATTCGAGAGTAAGAATGGCCGAGCTACCTCGAGCGAGTGATGATCTTGTGTGGAATGGGAGACGAGTGGAAGGCGACCGGGCGGAGGTGCTTTTGGGGTGGTGGTGGCCACTAACGAGGTGAAACACGGGTACGGTTAAGAATAGAGATGTCGGTATATAATTAGAGCGGTCGACAAGTCGAGAGTCGTGGTGGAAGAAAGGCGGGCGGTGGATGGGGGGAGGGTGAAGAGTGTTGGAAAGGGAGGTTGGGTTAGGGTTTGGGTGGTTGGTGGGAAAGAGGAAAGAGGAAAGAGGAAAGAGGGAAGAGATGAAGCGAGGGAAGAATGGAGAAGAGGAGGAGCAGCAGAAGTTGGGAAGAGGAGACGGGGGGCGCAGATCGAGCGGGCGCGGTGAATCATCGTCCAACTATCTTTCGCTCGGCCATTTGGGGGGGGCACTTGATTTTAGGGGCAGAGTTACGCCTGTGGCCACTACGACCAATCTGTATAATCCACGGTCGTTACAGTCCAGTCCATACTTGGAATGGGAGTCAGTAGGAAGGGTAGTATGGGAGCATGGGAGATCATGATCGTGAGTGAGTCTCTAACAAGACCCGTATGTGATCTGGCAAGATCACGAGGCCCCGTTTATCCGCACCCATCGACTTCCCCTCTATCAATCTTCCATTTTCGCTCCTCTCTCCTCTCCCCTTTTATCTCTCAATCATTTCCTTCTCGCTGCGACCGTCCATTCCACACGCAAACCCAGCAAACTTGCAGACTCCACTCGTGTGGCGATCGTCCTCGGTGCGGCCACTCAGCGTGCGCCCCCCAAAAACCTGGTCGTATTCGGCTTCCCCCCAAACACACTTTGGACCGAATGGTCGCACCACCGAGCCACTTCTCTTTGCCCGTTTCCCTGCTAACCCGTCTTAGCCTAGCTCGGCCTAGAACCTGCTGGGTCGGGCTTCACTAGTGACCCGGACGAGTAAGCTTGCGAAAGCTCCGATAAGAACCTGCCAACTGATTACAGATTGACCACTCCCTCGTCCGGTCTCCCATCATCCAGACTTCAAGGCGGCCATCCCCGGGTCCCCTACCGTACCTGTACTCTGCACCGTACGCTGTATTCCCTGTATACACTCCCTGTCCCGTCCACACCAGCCCAATCCTGATTTCAAAGCTCAGAGACGGCCTCGCTATCCCACCAAGTAAAGAGCGGCAGAGGTCGCGCTTCTCGGGGGCCCCCGAGGGATCAGCGGAGACCCCTTCGACTCCACCGCTCAGCTCACAGCTCCGATGGTTTCTTTCTGCCTAGACAATTCAACTGATTGCCTCCCCAATCCCACTCCAGGCTGGGCTAGTACCTTCATTTTACATCAGCAAGGACGATAGGGAAAGCAATGGATCTCCTCGCCCATGTCGATAGTGCCCTAGAGGCGGCAAATATGGATGCCATCGACGCCCTGCGCGCCTTCTTCCTCCTCGCTGCCGCCACGGTACGGTCACCGCGCGGCGACCAGCCTCATCAACCACTCCCAACCAGGACAAGCTAACCCAACTCCTTCTTTTGGCTCTTGATTATATAGACCGTCTCGGTCAGCATTCCCTCCGCTCTGCACGACCGTTTCGTCCTTTATGGCCCGCGTGCGACCGTGACCGCGACGGGCTCGGAGCCCGTCGCCGGGTCCCGCCCAGCAGCGCAATCCCAGACACAAGCCCAAGCCTCGGGTTCGGGTTCGGGGCTACTCGATTACCTTGCAACCTGGCGAGTACCGCACAGCTACTTCACCCAGTTTTACATTGCCTCCGTTGCATCTTCGGTGTTCTGGGCGGCGCAGTTGTTCTGGCGTGGGTGCGTGTTCGAGGCGATCGCGTCCCGTGTCAGTGAGGAGCATCTACAGCAGTCGATGTCGCTTACACAGCTGCTTATTTGCTGGGTCCTCCTCGCCATCCAGGGGTCGCGTCGTCTATGGGAAAGCATTATCTTTGCAAAGCCCTCTTCGTCGAAGATTTGGTTTGCGCACTGGTTGCTAGGGTTGGGGTTCTATCTTGCAGCGGGCATTGCTATCTGGATTGAAGGATCAGGTATGGAGGCCCATGCAGATCAAGGCTCTCGTCTCCGTCACCTCAGAATCTCGGGACGGAAAAAAGGCAGGCCATGCAAAGACAGACTTTCTAACGCTCTCACTCCAGGCGCAATCCTGACCCGCAGCCTCACCCTCGCCGACCTACAGATTACCAACGCGCCCACTGTCCGAACCTTCGTTTGCGTCCCGCTATTCCTGATAGCATCCGGTCTGCAGCATGACTGCCACCACTTTCTCTTCTCCCTGAAGAAATACACCCTCCCGGATCACCCAATCTTCCGCGGCATCGTTTGCCCGCACTACGGGGCCGAGTGTTTGATCTACCTGTCGCTCACGTACTTGGCCGCACCGCCCGGCCAAGTGGTCAACAAAACTATGCTGAGCTGTCTGGCCTTTGTGGCAGTCAACCTCGGCTTGACGGCACACAATACCAAAAAGTGGTACATGCAAAAGTTTGGCCGAGAGGCGGTGCGAGATCGGTGGCTCATGATTCCATATATCTACTGACCGTGTATAATCAACATTGGGTGTTGAGAAACTGAGACGACTCGAGAGAATGATATTACATCTATCTCCACAAACTGTCTGTGCCATGCATGGCAAGGGCCCCCTCGGGTATAACCAGAAACCAAAATACAAAAAAGTGAAGAAAGAAAAATGCATGAGTGCATCACCGACCACCCAAGAATTTCAGCGTATTTCCCACCTTGGCAACCTTCAAAACATCCCGATATGTCAAACTCGTCCTCGTCACCCTCTCATACGATCCTCCCCAAAACCCATCCTTGTCCCCCAACAACCCCCAATTACAAATAGTCTCAGCCCCCAAATCGCCATCCACTACTCTCTCCGCAATCCCATGTAAGAAATCCGAATACATCTTGCCCCGAGTAACCAATAAACTCCTCCTCTCCTGTAACACCCGGAATCGTGGTATTCGCAGAGAATCGGCCTCCGGCTCCGGCTCTGGCTCTGCCTTTTCCTCTCTTATACTCCCTTCCTCGCCCTCTTCCTTCTCGCTCTCCTTATCATACAGATCCAACACGATAGCCGCCCCCAGGCTCACAGTCGCCACGAGCGGATAATAGGCCGGTCCATCCTCATGCGGCATAATCCCCTGACCGGGACGGTACTCGTTGATCAAGACATGGTTCGGTGCGGAGTGCGGTGCGTCGGCGAAGATGCCTAGTTGTTCGAAGCGGGGTTCGATAATGGGGGTTATCAACCACGGTGGCAGTGGGGAGGAGAGGAGGGTGTTTGTTTTTGTTAGAGCGGAGGGCCAGGTTTGGAGGCGCCGGTGGGTCAGATGGGTCCAGCGGGGGAGTGGTGCTGAAGATATCTAGAGAGAGAGAGAGTTAGAGGGTGAAGATGGGGAGTATGCTGGTGGAGGGATGGAGTGGTGCGGGGATGGGAGGAAGTCTATATGTAGGTGTATATCTGTGCTACCATGCATATTTGAATTCCAATTGAGGAGTGGGAGACTTGGAGAAACGAGAAGAAGAAGCAGACGCACCCTTTGAAGCAAGATCTGCTCCTCTTCTTCGGAGATGAAATTCGGTATGTAGAATGCATCTTCCGGTAGCGAAGTAATGCGCGCAGCCTCCAGGTCCGAGACCATACCGAATGAGAAGATTGAAGGGTTCTCCTAGACCTGTCCCTTAGAGTGCAGATACCAGGATTCTACTGTAATCAAGGGAAAGATAATCAGTCAATTCCAGAATTATGTTCAGAGAAAAATAAAAGCACAAGTAAGCTAGACAAAATGGATTCTCCAATAAAGTCCCCCACGTCACACGCTCTCCTGCGTGCCTCAGGCAGCATGCCCCACATCAACCAGAACCGCACGAGGAAACAATTCGTTCAGCCCTGCACGTCTGATCTAAACACTAAAAACACGGATACACACTTGCAAGTCCAGCAAAGAAGAAACTGAGATCGAACCATCGAAGCACACTTTCTACATCATGGCTCCCAAGAACAACGCCAAAGGCGGAGACAAGAAAGGCGCTGCTGGCAAGGGTAGTAAAGGCAAGGACGCGGGCAACGACGACAAGAGCAAAGTCAAGGGCGCACAGTCGATCAACGTGCGACATATTCTGGTTAGTGCGATACCTGATTCACTATTTTATCTCAATATTTCCGGTTTGGGGGCGTACCCGTGGCCTCTACCTACTTGGACCTGGTGATATCCTCATCCGCCAGAACAGAGACTAACAATGACGGCGAGTATACACAGTGTGAGAAGCACGCCAAGAAAGAAGAAGCCCTCGAGAAACTTCGCAATGGAACCAAATTTGACGAGGTGGCTCGGGAGTTCTCCGAGGATAAAGCGAGGCAAGGTATGTAATCTTCCATGCATGAACCCATGTTCATCGCATCTCTTCGTTGCTGTCGGAATCATCCTCGGATGATCTACGAGGAAGATAGATTGCTAATGTCTTGTCACAGGAGGTTCTCTCGGTTGGAAGACCAAGGGAGATCTGGATCCGGCCTTTGAAAATATTGCCTTTGAATTGGAGCCCAGCACTACGGCGAAACCCAAGTATCAGGAGGTGAAGACTGGCTTTGGGTATCATATCATCATGGTGGAGGGACGCAAGTGAGATCGAAGTTTGAGAGTGAGATTGAGGACTGAGAGATGCCTTTCCATGTTATGTTCATTCATGGATTCTCCCCTACTTATATAGGGCACGAATGATACCAAGTGCTATGACCCAATTCCTCCGTTGCAGATTCACTTTCCTATTTCCTTCTCGGTGCAGTATACCTCTTTCAAGGCATTGATCGTGATATATGATATGTAGTTTTATTTTTGATTCTAGCTTTCCCTGTGGGAGAAAAAGGGGGGATCTATCACAAACAAGAACAGAATCCACAGAATAGTCCATCTACTGTCCCTTCTTCGCAGCCTCCAGTTTCGCCCTCTCTTTCGACTTCTTCTCCTGTCTCTGTACCACCGCTTCAGCACCAATTCCACCAAAGACCAAAACGATACCTAACCACTGCCCGGGCTTCAGCGAGTGTCCAAACCAAAACACGCTAAGCAACATCGTAAGCATCTTCCGGGTAACGGTAACCGTCACGAGAAGTAGCGACGAAAAGCGCGACAGCGTATAGAAAATAAATAACTGGCCCACCGCACCACAAGCCGCGAAGCCCAGTACGTGCTTCAATGCCTCCGGGTGCCGCGACAAGAACGACATAGCCGAATACAGTTCCGTCTCCGTGGATGGGGGGATCGGCAAGGGGAGCAGATTGTGCAAGATGCCGCCCTGTGAAAGATGCGGCATGAGTAGGAGATACGCGGCGGTTAGGGCGGTGGATAGCACGTTCTGCGCGACCATCATCTGCGGGCCGGTGAACTTTGTGTACAGCTTGGGCGAGGTGAAGACGTGGTCTTGCGTAGTATTCGTCAAGCCATCCAGAAGCAGGTTAATCGAGAGGAGGAAGATACCCCACATCGAGGAACTGGACTGCTTAGCTGCCGATGCAGCGACCTTCTTGCTCGTGCCGGGGTGGTGAAGGGTGAAGGTGGCTACTCCGAGCGTCACGAGCAGGACGACGCCGTACTTGTACAGTGGGTAGCGCTTGCGGAAAATGGTCAGGTGAAGAGCCATGACGGGGAGAAGTTTGCATGATTTTGCGAGGATGAAGGTGAGGTAGTCGATGTGCGCGAGACTAGCGTAGCCGAATGGCGAGGCTAGTGAGGAGGAGATGCTGACGAGGAGGAGGGGGAAGATGATACGGCGGGTGGGGAAGGGGGAGGGGACGCTGTGGCCCTTTGGCGTGGAGAAGAAGAGGTATAGGAAGCCGGTGATTGCGGCAAAGGTGGACTGGATCGTGTTGAGAACGAGAGAGTATGTGAAGCGCTCCGTTGGCGGTTCTGGTTCGGCGGCGGATGGTGCGCGTAGGGGGTAAGTTGTGGTGGTGATGGCTTCCTGGAGAACACCCCATGAAAGGCTTGATGGTCTGTTAGTTTTGCACGCCCTAGAATCTCCGTGAATCCATGCTCGAGGGTCCGACTCACAATGCGGCGTAAATACCGAGGACGCAGATGAGCAGCTGCATCAAGCCAGGGCTATCGGCAATTGGTTCCGGCGCAACAGCCTCTTGAACGGAGGTTTTGCCGTTGGCAACAGTATGCTCGATCGCATCTCCATTCGCATGTTTCTGTGCTGCTTCAGACTCGTCGGGCAAGGTATGCATCCATTGGGACGAGGGATTGCGTTGTAGCGGCGCGGTTTGCTTTTGTCGGCCCATTGCGACGGCTGAGAGACTTGAACTCGAACTCGGAGACTAAACCACGGAACAAAAAAAGAAAAGACGTGTTGGGTGTAAAATGAATGGTAACACCGGGCTTGAGAAGTAGTAACAAGTCAACTTACCCCCTGGATCCTGGCGCGAATATAAAAAATTCCCCCAAAAGATGATGCCATGTGTTCTTAGCTCGGGCTTATCGATAGTCGGAGATCGCCCCACACGAGCCCTGAAGAGTCGAGAATGGTTGGCCTATCAGGAGCGTTGAACGGTTTCACATACTCTCTTAGGGGAAGATCCTTTGTCGCTCTCCTTTTGTGTTGCTAAATTTGCTTCTAGGAATAAGCTCCCAAGAACTATGTTTACTGTGTAGAATGATCTGCAAGAAATAACGTTAATGTCAGAATGGGATAGATTGAGAATAACCATTTGGTCCCATCACACTCTCGCGTTGGCATTTGCGTATACCGAGTATCGTAATTCTCGATCTTGTGTCTTATTCTAGAGATTTTCCGAATGTTCTTCTGCTCATTTATTTAACCTATATTTAGCGAGAGCCTGTAGTATGAACTTCAAAAGTCAACAGGTAGGAAAATATAGATTCGAGCTTGGAAAGCGGTCAAGGCTCATTCAACTAGGCGGTGAGTCACTTCCACCTAATTTATCCGCATTTTGGAGAAAAAGCCCGCAATAAGAATCAGATAAATCACAAAGAAGCAGCCGACTCTCAGAGCTCAAAATGACTTCTCAACAAGCACAGCCCCCTACGCTGGAACCATCGGCACTGACAAAACTCATCGAGTCAGCTTCTGCCTCCGGCAATCCACTCGCTGCAACCACCATTCAAATCCTCCATAATCTCCAGCACCAACATCTCTGGACATCTCTCCAAATCCATGACATTTCCACGACCAATGCGACAGACCTAAATACCACGGACTCAATTTCATCTGATTCCCCACAGACCCTGATCTCGGGTGTCCCACCACACCGCGTATACACGCATCCGGACGAGCAGCTATACATGTTGGAAAAGGGCATCGCGGAGGATGATCTTCGACCGGAAAGACTATTCGTGATTCCCACGGCCCAAGGGCAAACTTGGAGTTTGCGCCGTATGGCTGCAGCCTTTGATTCCTTGGCTACTCTTGAAGATTCTTCGGGAAGCGAGGAAGAATGGTCGAGCAACGAGTCTACGGATCCTGAAAAGGCAAAGAAGCTCGATGAATATTACCAGAAGAAGAAAATTGCCAAGGAAACGAAAGAATGGGGCACTAGGCGAGCTCTACTCGCGATGACCAACAGGGGGATGGGTGGAGAGGGTACGGTCGTCTACTACGTCGTCCAGGAAGGCGAGGTCAAGCCGCGACAGAACTGAGCCCCTCTCAAAATTTGGATGTCTCACGATCTACGTTGTTCAGCATGGAGTGCGCGTTCAACGCGGGAGCAAAATTGTATTCATATTGCTCGAAATTATCTGCGGAGAAGCGAAGTGGGGATCGGCATTGATATTTCATGCCAAGTTGATTCACGAAACACACAATAATGGGGTTGCCACCGGGTATAGTGTTAAGTTACAATGCAAAAGCGAAGAGCAGAATAGTGCAAATGTCCACGCAGCGGGAATTGTACAAAACAGAAGACGCTTCAAGAAGGATTCAAGGACGTGAAGGAAATTTTTGGGGGGGGGGGAACCGCTCAAGCTCAAAGCAACAGGTTCTCCCTGTCATTCTTCTGAACCTGCTCCTGCTCCTGGCGACAGCTGGTGCAGTACCGCTCATACCACTCCTTGATGTTGCCTGTGTTTTCGGCGAAAATGCGCTCCGCCTGGGCGACCTGTGTGGCCGTGTCGCCTTCGGCATCGTTGCCCCCTCCCAGAAGAATCTCGACTTGGCGACAGCGACGCAATTCCTCACGGAGCCACCGCTCCCATTCATTTTGTATGACTTCCTTTTCGATACTGTTCACCACGCGCAGGGCAACCAGTAGATTATGCCTGTACATCCCGAGACGCTCTCGGGTCTGCAAGAACCGCTTGGTTGCGCTCTTGGCGACTGCATCGCGTGGGTTTGAAGTGCTCAGAGACAGAGGGAGCTCCGCGTACCGCATGCTATGCTCATTAAACGCGCCAAAGCATGTACTGGTGCTCCCGTTGTGAGGCCAAATAGTCGAGTTGGCGACTGCTTCGTCGATATCTCGGATGTAAATGGCTTTGCTCATGACCATATTTGGTTGAACACCAAGCCTGGACATGAAATTGCTAGCATGTCGCTCGTGCCACCAGTCCCAACCATCTCTCGAGGTATAGAAGCCGTTCATGAGAGCGCTCGCTACCAGCAAGATCAAGATGACCTTGTGTGCACTCAAAGTCTTCAAAGTCCAACCAACAAGACCAAAGGAGGATTGCATCAAAAATGATAACGCGCTTTCCAAAAATGACAAGACTGTCTCCATGACGAGGTGTGGCATGGTGCGCTGAGTACGCTTGCGCGTTTCCAGCTTCAAATTTCCACCAGCACCTGAGAATTGAGACACATTACTCTGGCGTCCGACATGGCCAAAGATGGTGATGGCCTTCTTGGTACGACTGTGTACGCCCAGGCGACGAACTTGGTCACTGACTAAATCCACGAGATCAAGGGCATCCTGTTCCAAGTCGGCACCCGCTCTCTTGTCGATCATATCTAGCGCCATAGTTAGAACCAGGCCTCCCTAAACTTGAGACTCGCATTTTGACTTACTTTTCAGGCCGTAGGGTGATTTGAGCCACTCAACCTTGGTGTAGATAGCAAGCTTGCTCTTCGATTTGGCCACGAACGTGATCACAACTTTGCTCACAAGACGGAATGAGCGACGAAGGGGAAGATGCCACGGGGTCCGTTTATCTGTGATCACGTAGCACAGGTGGTCATTAAGTACGTCGATGATCTGATAATCCGAGATGGCATTGTTTTGAGATCGTCCTAATTTTTGGGTTAATATACAACTCGTAAAGTTCAATTCCGGGAGAGTCTCACCAAAGATATCGATCGTCTCGATCTGATAATGGAAGTCTCTTCGGAGATGCCGTGCCTCCGTGCTCGCCCATGGCCCTTGTTTGATCTCTTCATGGGATGTAAGTATATCAAAATTCGAGTACTTTCAGCTTTGCCACAATGATTCACATACCTCGAGCTTCACGTTCATGGAGCAAAAGCTGCCATACTGCGCTCTTATCACCAAACAGAATATGGAACAGTGCCTTCGGGCTAATGTCGAGTACCTTCTCCACCACCAGAGCAAGATCACCCTGCGGGACGTACTCCACAGGTTGAGTAGGCAGTCTGAACCTCGGGTGGTCTTTACCACGGCCACCCTTACCTCCATCAATGTCCAGATCTTTGTCGACGTAAATAGGAAGGTGTATATCATGACCGTTCTTGGTGTCAGGTCCAGATGGAGCGTCTTCCCAACTGTCTGCGCTCGACGGTCGGATGGGAGAGCCAGTGTCCATTTTAATGAGTTCTCTGAGGATTCCCTCAAGGTTCATCGGCTGGACAGCAATGGATGATTGGATCAAAAAGTTAAGACGCTTCTGGAGCAGTCGGAGAGGCTCGAGGAAGGTCTTGATGGTAATTCGGCCAGGAGTATCACTACCAATTGGAGGTATCGTGTGTAGGAAGAGGAAATCACAGTCGCGCCCAGAAGCAGCAGTCACCTCCTTGATGTTGTCCAGAGAGGCGCTGGTGGTCAGAACCAAACCAAAGTGGTGGCTGTAGAAGTAGATGCTGCGAGTTGTCACGTAAGCCCTGCCAGGGAATTCTTGCTGCTCATTCGGGCTCCAGGTTGCCCTGAAAACCAAGACCAATGGTTCCTCCTTCTTGACATCTGGGAACAGCAATCGAAATTGGGCATCCTGGATCTTCAACTGCTGTGGATAGATACTAGGATACTCAGTTTCTGCTACCATTGCTCGCGCAGCTCGTTGGATCTTTGACGCATCCTCTCCGTCGAGGCTGACAGTTTGTCGGTGACGCGGTCCAGACGGCTGCCAGGGGCTTGCAGATGCACTTTGGATGTCGGTTTGAGCAGCGACATTCTGCCTATCAGAATCACTCATAACAGACGCCGGGCGTCCCTCAGCTGTGGTCTCTGGATGGTCACCATTTGTGTAAGGTTGCGTCCGTTGGAACTTATTGATGAATCCCCAATTGGAGCTGCCCCATAGATTTGCCATCATACCACTGGGCATTCCGCCTGTGCTGTCAACAAGGCCCAGGCCAATACCTCGTTCGCTACTCACTACCACTGCAGCTTTGCTCATGCTTGTTGGCGCTGGTGGGTTAGCAAGGGTAGCAGGGGCAAGGCTCACTCCGGGCTCATCCACGCTGCTCGGGCTGCGACCTCGGTTTCCTTCCCCATCCCTAGCACTGGCGGCCGCAGCACCTCCGTAAGGGAGCAGGTTATGGCTAGCGGAAATAAGGCTGGCGATACCGCTCGCAGGGCCGGGAATCGACGGGGACAATGGTGCAGCGTTGTTCGACTTGCGGTGAAGATCCAACTTTTGAATAATCCTAGATGTATGATCCCTGGTGTGCTCACGAGCAGAAGATTCTGCTTCCAAACCCGTCAGTCTTCGACCGCTCATGTCGGTACTGTTCCGCATAGCAAGTCCGTCACGGTCCGGGACTGGAAGTGTTGAGCTCCGTTCAATATGAGACTGCTCATCACTGAGATGGGGAGTGAGAGACTCGCTTGGGTCGGCAGTGAATTCGGGTGCAGGAGGCTGCGATATCGAAAAAGCAGGGTCTTGAACGGTGACTTTCCCTGAAATTGACAAGTCGGTACTCGTGGGATTTTCCAATGCTTTTTGCTTGGCAGCTTCGAAAGCCCCAATCCATTCCATCAGCTCTTTTTGTGTCTCGGCTTGAAGAATAATACTGTTATTCTTGGTCTTCACTTGGAAACAGAACCGTCGCTCCTCTTGAAACGCTGGGCGAATGCTGCATAGGAGCACGCCAATTCGCTCGCTTTCTTCAACACCACCGGTACGTGAGCCCTGTACAAGACATCCAAAGATACCATGCTTGAGGAAGGCCCAGCGCCTCACCCAGACCGTGCGGCTGGGTCTGCCGGACAATGTCCGTAGGTTGAGCCATCCTTGCTTTTCTGGCCTAATATCCTTGCCCATGTTAAGCGTGGATAAAGGTCGGGAGCCGAGGTACGGAACAGTGGAGATTGAATAGTCCTCAAGTTCGCGGGGCGGACGGGCTACCACTTCTGCAGCCTCTTCAATTTGTTTCCTCGTAGCTAGAAGCTCACGCTTGGCAGATCGGTCACTTGCTTCCATCTCGTGAACCCATCCTTTGATCCGATCCATCTCGCCCGACCACTTTGAGAACGTCGAGCTATTGTTGTTATGGAACACCCGGAACTCTCGCCATTGATCATAAGAGACTCGAACCAAAAGTCGATCAAGCGCATTGCGTATCTGAGGAGCCTGCACGGAAAAGTCCATAGACGCTCTCAGGTATGCTTTGCGAGCTTCGTGAAGCTGGAACGCTTCCTCCCTCAAAGCGGAGGCTTCTTTAGACTTTGACTGCGATGCATATCGGGCTTGTAAGTAATCATACTGCTTCTGGGCCTGCTCGACAGCGCGGCGGCTTTCCTACGCCGATGTTAGTCTATCACGTCACACAAGAGTACGTCCGGAAACAAGGCAGAGGAGCCAGTATTTTACCTTGAAATGCCGCAAATCTTCATGAATGAACACACGAATGGGCTCAGCGATCAGCGACTCCATTTTCTTGGTCGCCATCACCAGTCCATTCCAGAGATCCTTCGATCCTTCTCCGCTCCTCCTCATTGCTAACAGCGTGTAATCATGATCGACGACGGCTTCGGAAACTACCAGAGGGTTGGAGTAGGAGAGGAAGCTATTAACAACGCTCTCCATGGCCACTACCTCGGAGGCAAGCTTCGCCGCAGCTTTGGCATACCCATCGAGCCATCTCTCAATGAAATCAATCTGGTCGCAGAAGTGGAGGGTAGTCGCGCGGAAGGTCGGCGAGTCGAGTGCAGCCTCTTTGAGACCAACGGGACTAACAAAGTGAAGTAGTATTAGCATTGGAATCTAAGCAAGCAAACGTTCAGACTCACACCACGCTCACGAGCTTCCCAACCTGGGGTAACGGGGTGTGCGATTGAGTCGACATCTAGTGCATGCCTCCAGCCACACACTTGACGCGAAGAGATTGGAAGCACAAGAGTAAGATGCGTCGACTATACCCTTTCCAATAGCCAAAAACCAACACCATAGAATGAAGAAGGTGGTAAAAGGAGCCTGGAGAGAGCTGCCCACGTGCTGGTCAGCGGCGTGAACCTGTCGGGGTCGCCTTACGCTGATCTAATTGGCTACGTCAGTGAGACCCCCGGAGTTGTGGCCTGGAGACGGCTGTATGTTGGCCTTGGGGTTGAGGCGCTCATCCTGGGCGGTTTCCTGGGCAGACGGGCGGTGTGAGAATTTTTTCTTTCTGCCGGCCCGCGGGTTTCTCTGCGGCGCAGCGGTGCAAGGTCAATCAGTAAATTTGTGAAAACTGCAATGGAGCCTCCATCGAAGAAGATGCGAACCCTTTGGGACGACGACAATTCTAGTGATTCAGGTGATGATGCTGGTGGTGTCTCTCTCACCAAGGCCCCCGAGGCAGGCTTCAAGATCAACGAAGACTTTGCCCGCCGCTTTGAGCACAATAAGAAGAGAGAAGAGGTGCAAAAGTGTATGGTTCAACTACAATTTCCGCCGCCTATAGTGATCAGTCGCTAACTTTCTCTCTGATTTCCAGTGGAATCCAAATATGGCAAATCTTCTAGCCTAGGAAAGCACCGAGCTGATGAACCATCGGACGAGGAGTCCTCTGATGATGAGGAAGAGGATGACGATGGCGAGCTAGCTACCGAAGTAGTCGACGCCGAGATCATGGCTACGCTGAAGGCTATTCGTGAGAAGGATCCCCGCGTGTACGATGCGAACGCCACTTTCTACACCAAGCTGGATGAAGACGACGAGGCCCCCAAGGAAAAGAAGGAGAAACCCATGACGCTGCACGACTATCATCGCGAGAACCTCTTGAAGGGAGTCGATGTCGCCGAAGAGGAAGAGAAGGCAACAATCAAGACCTTTGCTCAGGAGCAGGCCGAGTTGAAGGATGCGCTGGTCAAGCAATTACATGCGGCCGACTCGGACGATGAAATGGAGGATGCGGAGGACAACTTCCTGGTCCGCAAGGCCGGTGGAGCCGATGTTGTTCCCGAGAAGGAGATCGAGCTGGATATTGAGAATGCAGACAAGGATCCCGAAACCTTCTTGTCCAACTTCCTGTCCGCCCGAGCTTGGATCCCGGCAGGTAGTCAACGAGAACTCCATCCCTTCGACTCAGACGATGATGAGGAACTGGATCAGGCCGACGCTTTCGAGGAGGCCTACAACTTCCGCTTCGAGGATCCCAGCAAGCTCAATGAGAAAATTATGACCCACGCTCGTGACACTACCAACAGCCTTTCAGTCCGTCGTGAGGATAAGAGCGCACGCAAGAAGCTCCGTGATGCCGAGCGTCAACGGAAGGAGGAAGAGAAGAAGGAGCGTGATACTGAGAAGAACCGTCTGCGCAAGCTCAAGACCGAGGAGCTCCAGAAGAAGGTCTCCCAAATCAAGGAGGTCGCTGGTCTACGAGCCGCTGAGTTCACGGATGAGGACTGGGCCCGATTCCTTGATGACGCTTGGGATGACAAGGAGTGGGAGAAGGAGATGCAGAAGCGCTTCGGAGAGGGTTACTATGAGGAACCCGAGACGGAGGGCAAGAAGCACCCCAAAAAGCCCACATGGGACGACGACATTGATATTAAGGATCTGATCCCTGACTACGCTGACGAAGAGGAAATCAAGCCCTCTCTCGAGTCCGGCGATGAGGGAGAAGACGTTGACGAGGAAGAGGAGGAGGGTGCATCTGGGTCGAAGAAGAGCAAGGCCGAGCTGAGGCGCGAACAAAAGCGTGATGCTCGCAAGGAGCGTCTCCGGATCGAAGAGGCAGTTGACCGCAACCTGGATCTCGATATCACCCTTCTCCCCGGTGCTACCAAGAAGAACGCTACCCGTTTCCGCTACCGCGAGACTTCACCTCAGAGCTTCGGTCTGACCGCCCGCGATATTCTGATGGCTGACGACACCCAGCTCAACCAATTCGCCGGTCTGAAGAAGCTTGCCTCCTTCCGCGATGCCGAGAAGAAGGCCAAGGATGAGCGGAAGCTGGGCAAGAAGGCTCGTCTGCGCCAGTGGCGGAAAGACACTTTCGGCAATGAGGAAGGCCCTGTATTTGAGTTTGGCAGCGGCAAGCGTAAAGTTGATGCCGATAATGAGCAAGATGGGGACGAAACTAAGCTCGATATTCGCGAGGGCGATGGCAGTGGGAGGAAGAAGCGGAAGCGATCCAAGAAGCACTGAGCGCAGGCGCAGAAAAAAAAAGCATTCCTTTGTCCATAGCTTGAACCCACTATCTGGAGCATGGAGTTTATTTCTTTTACTGAAATTAATGACTATCCATTATGAGCTTGACTATTACACGAACCCGTAGATTCTCGAATCCCAGGAACCTACCTGGAATGGCCTAGTGGTTTGTTACACGTTTATATTCAGGTGATATGGTGGATGTATATATTTCCAGCCAGACATTGAAGTACGGCTGATAAGCACCACCTGTATTCCCACGGTCTCCATAGCGACCTCTCCAGACTAGGCGATCTTATATTCGACTGCACGTTTAAAATTCCCGGGAGTTCAGCTTTACAACAATTGAGGAAGATAAGTTGGTTGCCACTGCAAAGAGATTCCTTTTCGACCCAAACACAAACAAACCGCATTTGGCCTGGATATTTGAGACTCGCTGACCAACCGCAACCAAGAGGAATTGACAATGAAAATTAGGATTTGCACAACAGTTCTTTCACAAGAATCTCCATTGAATCATTATTTTCTACGTAGAGGGTGTGTTATATGCTAGCCTACCACGAAGTTCATTGCTGAAACAATCTCGATGGCCGTTCCACAGGGCCGAGGAACCCAGTAGGAAAGTGGATCCGGAGGTATTACTGGCGTGTACCTGACTTTTCATCCAGGTACTTTTCACATGCGGCTCCTCTCCACTATAAAATTGGTACCCGCTACATAAATAGCCGCGAGCGAAATTGTCTCATATCAAACACTTCCCGTGATGGCCTGGATCCAGACATGCTGCCCAGAAAGGCATACTGTCGCCCGTGTGGATAGGTCAAAGAGTTTTAGTTGAACTATTCCTAGCTAGTTGTGCATGAACATGCATTGATATGTACGGCGTACATATAGATACATATCAAGGGAAAGACAAAAACCTTGCGGCTGGCACAGAGAAATTCCTCGATCAGAGTTTGATCTACCCGTCTTCGTTCGGACCGAGCTTCTAATTCATTGAAGACTGGCTAATCACCAAGTAGGTATTCATAACAGAAAGTCTTTCATATCGTCCTGAGGCAAATTGACTGCCGCGATACATGGAAATTCAGGCGTGACTATCGGGGAAGGGAGGAGTCGGTGGCAAGCCAGTAGCCGGGCCTCCCTTCGGATACTCGGGCCCAGAAAAAAGGAGGTTGCCCCGGTGTGGATGTGGAGGCTGGGCCGGCATTGGACGGGGAAAGATACGCCGTACCGAGTATTACCGTCCACTGGACGCATGGACATCGCCGTTGCTCCGGACTACAGATGACCTGGCAGAGAGACCAGTCCAAGGCCTTGTGATATCACGGGAAAGTTCGGACAATTCGGACAAAATTTCGAGGGCGATGGAAAGGTAGCATGAGTTAGTATGATGCTATAGTAGGGACAAACACTCCGAGTATAGGGAACCATCTCTTTCCTGATCATCAAAAAATGGCCACTCGGCCAGATCCAGGCGTAAGGAAAAAAAAAAATTCTGCGATCGGGAGATATCGGCAGGGCGCCGAGTCAATACGGCAGAATACCAGGCAATACCGCATGATTTCAGGTCCTAGGGGCCCCTGGCCTTCCTGATTGGGCGCTAGTGGCCAGCATTCGCTTCCACCCACGTACAGGTATTTTTCTCCCCCTTCCGCCCCCTTCTCTCTTCTCTTCTTCTTTTTCTTCCCTCCCATCCCCGGTGTCCTTTTCTCTTGACACTCCTCCCTCTCCTCTCTTTCTTGTTGCTATCTCTTTTTTGCAACTCACAAAATGGCGTCCCAGGCCGATAAGTCCTTCATGGGCATGCCCGTAAGTGTTTTCTCCCTCACCTCACTTTGCCTCGCCTGGCTGAGCTGGCGTCGACTCCGAAACTGCAACGAATATCATCGTGATGCCATCGAATTCATCCTCAATGCATCGCAGTGATTGCACTCCCGGAGTGGACATCCAGTCAACCAGCGTGGCTCGCACACACAGACCGTGTCAACACAGATGGCGCTAACAACAATTTTCCAGGGCTTCGTTGTCGACTTCCTGAGTACGTTTTGATAACACATCGAAAGGCCTTCCAGGCTGATCGCTGGATTCGCTTTGCATCAACAAAATCAATAATACTAACTGATTCACAGTGGGTGGTGTTTCCGCCGCTGTCTCCAAGACCGCTGCTGCCCCCATCGAGCGTGTCAAGCTCCTGATCCAGAACCAGGTTAGTTTACGCCTCGACATGCAGTCTTCCAACCGAACACGAACCAGACTGGGACGCGGGGAATTATATTCCATCATGGGTTGTTGTAATTGGCTTGTTTGATTGAACGTTGCCAATGCTTTTCACCCAATGAAAATTTTTTTCCCTGTCGCGCGTGGTCCGTGTGACGGTCGGATCCTGGCTGCTTGTGGAAAACAAAAACATTTCTCGACCCAATTGATCAGCAGCTAACCCTTTCTTTCATCTCAACAGGATGAGATGCTCAAGCAGGGTCGTCTTGACCGCAAGTACAACGGTATCGTTGACTGCTTCAAGCGCACCTCCGCTCAGGAGGGTGTCGTCTCTCTCTGGCGTGGTAACACCGCCAACGTCATTCGTTACTTCCCCACCCAGGCTCTTAACTTTGCCTTCCGTGACACCTACAAGTCCATGTTCGCCTACAAGAAGGAGCGTGATGGCTACGCCAAGTGGATGATGGGTAACCTTGCCTCCGGTGGTGCTGCCGGTGCCACTTCCCTCCTCTTCGTCTACTCCCTGGACTACGCCCGTACCCGTCTGGCCAACGACGCCAAGTCCGCCAAGGGTGGCGGTGACCGTCAGTTCAACGGTCTCGTTGACGTCTACCGCAAGACCCTCGCCTCCGACGGTATTGCCGGTCTCTACCGTGGTTTCGGTCCCTCCGTTCTCGGAATTGTCGTCTACCGTGGTCTGTACTTCGGTCTGTACGACTCCATCAAGCCCGTTCTCCTGGTTGGTCCTCTTGAGGGCTCTTTCCTCGCTTCCTTCCTGCTCGGCTGGACTGTTACCACTGCTGCTGGTGTTGCTTCCTACCCTCTGGACACTGTCCGTCGTCGCATGATGATGACCTCCGGTGAGGCCGTCAAGTACAAGTCCTCCATGCACGCTGCCCGCCAGATCGTCGCTGAGGAGGGTGTCAAGTCTCTCTTCAAGGGTGCCGGTGCTAACATCCTCCGTGGTGTTGCCGGTGCTGGTGTCCTGTCCATCTATGACCAGGTCCAGCTCATCCTCTTCGGCAAGAAGTTCAAATAGATGATTCGCCCCTAGGGTGATTCGTTTATTTGTTTTCCTGTAGTTATACTGGAGTCGGGGACGCGAAACACAACCCCCTGGTCTGGTCTTTTAACTCCGGGACACGGGAAAGTTGAGGTTGTGGCATTGCAAAAGATAGATGCGACAAGAAACGGGTTCGGGGGGATCTTGAAGCATAGAATGGTGTGATTCTTCCCTTTTTTACCCAAATGTACTTTACTGCCTGCAAACTCTGTTTTCTTTTCTTTCAAAATCTGTACTCTTGGCGAGCCAACATCCTTGGTAAAATTTCTCGTAAGGTCCTTTTGAGTATTAGTGTTGCTTTTGGGGTGACTTGACGTGGTCCTGCTCACCAAAGAGAGCACCAAAGAGAGCATGGTTAAAAGTCATAGGTCTTGCGTGGCATCCTTCAGCGAGGACGGGAGTTTCAGAGTTTTCCAGGGTTCAAATTGTTGTATCTCTCGGTGTGTCTGCCCAAGTTCAAACTCCTTTGCACCTGTCACTTTTGCTACGTGGCATGTATATCTGGCCGCTTCCGTCCGAATCTGACATCTAGCATATCATTCCCCCGAACACTATTGATTCCAATCCTTGATACATGCTACACGACTGTTCTCTCGAAGACGATCGTTATCTAAGAAAGATCACCGACCCCCTGAAGCTCTCCGCAACGAGCCCACCACCAAAGCGGCAAGCCGCCCCACCGCGGAAAGCGCATGACGTCTGGGCTTGGAAGCTCTCCTTGAAGCTCCGCCTTCTTTACTCTCTAAGACAACCATCCTCCTCTCCTCCCACGCACCACTCCATCTGTCAAACAGATATCTCTCATCCATGTCGACCCCAGGAAGCATAAAGACCTACACCTCTGCACCTCTCAATCCGAACAAGACTGAAGAGGAAACAGCAGCCAAAGTGCAGCCGCAACCCGCCACCGCAATCGAGGCCGAAATAACGACTGCGACAGAACCCCAACCCACATCGGCTACTGCTACTGCGCCCGCATACTCGCCAATCTACGCATCTGCACCGCCAGAGAGTCTCCCGGCTCAGCCAGGCTCCGCACCAAGTCTACCTGCGCCAACAGCTGCCGTAGCGCAACCAGCAGGCAACCTCATGCCAACGCCAACATCTACCTATCCAAGCGCAACATCTACACAATCCCCACCACCTCCACAACCTGGCGCTGTTCCACAAGAGCCAACTACCAGTGCACAATCTACAGTCCCGCCACCGCCCAAGGCAGGACAAGCCATCTCGCCCTCCCTGTCATCTACGGCCCAGGCTACTACCACACAACCTCCGACCCAACTCACCTCTTCCTACGCCTACCACCGCTCACCACACCATCCCTCTGAAATTCCAAACTCGACTACAACCCCTTACTCTTCCGTGTACCAGGCCCCCACTGGTGCGGGTCCCTCTGGGTCTACGGGATTGCCGCTGCATTATAGCAGTGGTGGGGGTGGAGGTGCGAGCAGTGTTTTCCCCGAGGATGATGAATCATTTTTTAACACTGCTAAAGGGTGGATGCAGAGTGCGGGATCGAAATTGGCCGAGGTCGAGGCCGAGGTTTGGAAGAGAATCAATAATGCGCATGATGATAACTGAGTGACTGGGATACGAAAATGGGAGAGAGCTTTTGATAGGTTTTTATTTTTTTCGGGGTTGAGGAATTGGGCTACATAGTTAGAAACTCTTTTTGTAGGGTTTGATCTCGGTGAACTCGTTGGTTAGTTGGACATTGCTTGGGCTACGGATATTGCTCGGGCTACGGATATTGCTTGGGCTACGGATATTGGGTTTGGCTGGACTTGTGTATCCACTGGTGTTTGGGTATTGATCAGGCATTCTGAATATTATCATTAGACTGTCATAGGACTCTATAGGTTATGATATGCTGTCTTACTCAATAGTAACATGTCTTGGATCTTGAGTGCTGTTCGAACCTACTAGCCCCGACCTATGGAATTGGCTTCATTTCGTAGATAACATTGCACCAGTAGCATAGAATATGAATGCCTCGTTTATGAAGGGACTCCAGTTTGCATACTCTGATCAACTAAGAGATTACGAGGCGGTAGACATATCCATCCGGATTTCCAAATTGCAAACTGTCCAGACGTCAGGCTTTGCTAACCATATGTACAGGACGAACAGACGACGACTCATAATTTGGAACCCGATCCCGCATTCGGGAGTATTGAACGGGGGTTTTCCACCAAACGTTCAGGCTTCCTGATCAAGTCGTAGACATGTAGTTTCACCTATACATCAAAGCAAGGGGAACAGTTTCGAGTCTCTTTTCTTGTTCATGCAGAATCCCCGTTTGGAGTACTGTACCAGGTTCAACATTTTCTTGTGACGAACGAGGAGGGACTGAGAAGCAGAGCAGAGATCTTGGATTGCAGCCTCTACTTTCGTGCGCGTGTCGGCAGGCCAACTAGTATTTCGAGATCAGATTCAGCTGGAGTAGGTGAGCGAGGGCAGTGACAATGAGCTAGGGTATTCTACCTCGTTCTTCGCTTCCATCCAGGGAGTGGCAGAAAGTCGGATAATTGTAGTTGTTCACTCGAAGTCTTTTGACACCGAACCCGCCACGAGCGAGGTAAGAGAATCTGCACGACCCAAGGCCGTACCTCAGCCCTGACGAGTTCTTGTCTATCATGGATCTTATCACGTGTGTTCACATCCAGCGGTCACAGTGATTGGACACGCCCATGGTGTAGGAGGTTCGGAGTGGTAGGGCCCGTGACTCAGGGATGTATATTGCCTGGACGGGGATTCTATTATAGAGAAGGCATGCAAGACTGTCTGGTTGATGTTGGTTTAGGGTTTGAAGAAGTCACAAGCGACTGGTTGGCGGAGGTCAGTCGAGAACTATGGAAAAGTGATAGATTTGGAAGGTTACGAATGAATAATAGATTGTTAGAGAAGGGGCCAAGATAGGTAATTCAGCAGACAATCCATTTGGGAAGGCTCCTTCCTGTATGGCCATGGAAGATTGCCCAATATCTATGTAGATAAGTCTCATAAGTTGTCTTGCTTCCAAGGAGGGTAGAGGGGCGACTTACTCGCTAAGGAACTCAGTGGTATAGAGGGTTTACCATGTTAAGCATTGTGTTTACTGGTGACAATTGCAAATGATGTGTTGCAGAGAAAGCCTTCAATATAGGTAACGTATGGTGCCATGCGTATATCAAGTGTATGAGTCAGGTTGTTGGTAGATAGTAGATGTCGAGGAATGAAAGTACGAGGAGAGAAATCTGCTGGGTGTGTACCAGATCCACCCCTTCGTAGTGAAGAATCTTGCCATGCTCTGGGTGTAACAAGTAGTTCTAAACGCAAATCCCCCTCTCATAATAAAACTCGGTTACTGGGTCGAAATAGCGATGAGTATCCTTCTAGATGGTAAGCTGGGTACAGAGTACATGCTTCACCCGCGCGGCCTTATTCTCAATGGGCGCATAGATCTTAAGACGGCCACCAGGGCGACCAGTGAAGAATAATTCTCGTCATGCATCATGCACGCGACTGTCACTATTTTTGTTTCCTCGCTAAATCCTCCACCTCTGTCAAGGTCTCTAACACTTTCTGCCTATCGCTTAAATAGTGAGTGAAATCCTTAGTAGCGTTTAAAAAAGCAATTCACGCCCAGGTGAAAACCGAATTGTCTCGCTTCCTCGTGTACCCACGTGGCATGCTAGTACTATTCAGCTACTTGATATAGCAAGGGGTAATTTTGTTTAGGTTCACGACATTAGTAAATAACGATAAGCCATTGGTTTGAGCATTCGAATGAACGCTATCTCCACAGTCTAGTCAAAAAGCTTAACTACCAGATCCAAAGTTCCAAGCCACGTGCACGAGCACGTGTTAACGGTTGGCTCTGAATATACAAAATACTCCGAGCGTCGCCTAAGCTTCGACTGTCGCTTCCATCTGTTGCCGTTCCGCCAGACCCCTGAGATGTTGTTCAATTGGTTAATCATGCCCTCACACCATAGTGTTCAGGGTCCAACCGCCTGGTCTGGCTGGGACTGAGCTGGGAGTAGAAATTGGGCTGATCGTCCCCTTTTATTTCCCTCTGATTCGTATTCCATCACCTGATTGAGATGAACCATGCCTTCCATCATGAGCACCATGAGAGCTGCGACCGTGATAGCCTTTGCTGCCACTGCTTTGGCGGTTCCCCCCGCCAATTCAGCCCTGTGTAATGCTAAGACTGCACCTGTCCAGATTCGCCTGGCTTATGCCGGTCATAATGGCATGGCCGTCAGCTGGAACACCAATGAGCAGTTGGTTAACCCTACTGTTTACTTTGGCCACGACGATAGAAAGCTCAACCGTTTCGCCTCCTCCCAGATCTCTACCACCTACCCAACCTCGGCCACCTGGAACAACCATGTTGTCATCAAGGGTCTGGAGCCCGATACGACTTATTACTATCAGCCTCAGTGCGGTAACCAGACTTACACCTTCAAGACCCCCCGTCCCGCTGGTGAGCAGGCCGAGTTCAGCTTCGCCATGGTCGGCGACATGGGTACCTTTGGTCCCGATGGTCTTAGCACTACCGTTGGAAAGGGTGCTTCCAACCCTCTTTTGCCCGGTCAATTGACCACCATCCAGTCCCTAGCGGACTTTAAGAACAGCTATGAGTTCATTCTGCACGGTCTGTTGCTCCTATGCAAAACCAAAATCTCGTCTTTTCGTTCGCTCATGTTCCTATAGCTGGTGATCTTGCCTATGCCGATGCTTGGCTCAAGGAAGAGAAGAGCGGATATATTACTCCTCTGAACCAGACCGATGGCGGTGCCGAATACGACAAGATCCTCAACGACTTCTACAGCGAGATTGAGGTACTTTCAAGCACTCGCCCTTACATGGTTGCCGCTGGTCAGTTTAACCCTTCATCACTTATCGTTCTTGTCATTGCCTATATAGCTGACCCTCATTCTAGGAAACCACGAGGCAAACTGCGATAACGGAAGTGACCTGAGCGTCTGCCCCCCTGGCCAGCTGAACTTCACTGGTTATCGCGCTCACTGGAACATGCCCTCCGCCGAGTCCGGTGGTGTAGAGAACTTTTGGTACTCCTTCGACTACGGCCCGGTGCACTTCGTTACCTTCAACACCGAGACCGACTACCCCAACGCTGCCGACGAGCCTGGAGGTGAAGGAGCTGAGAATGCTGGTCCTTTCGCTCCCAGCGGTACCCAACTTGCCTGGTTGAAGAAGGACCTCGCTTCCGTTGACCGCAAGAAGACCCCCTGGGTTGTTGCTGCTGGTCACCGGCCTTGGTATGTCAGTGCTTCTACGTGTGTCGAGTGCCAGGCCGCTTTCGAGCCCATCCTCTATCAGTACGGTGTCGACCTCGTCCTTTCTGGCCACAAGCACTTCTACGAACGCCACGCCGCCGTCTGGAATGGTACCGCTGAAGAGATCAACGCCGACCCCACTTACCCCTGGTACATTGTCAATGGTGCCGGCGGTCACTACGATGGCCTGGACGCTCCCGCCACGCCCTATGCCTCTACCTCCCGCAAGATCGTCTCAGCCTATGGCTGGAGCTTGTTCACAGTCCATAATAGCACGCATTTGACCACTCATTTTGTTGCTAGCGGCAACAATACCGTTCTTGACACTGCCACTTTGGTCAAGAACCGCAAGCACTAGATCATCATTTTACTAAGATAATGGAATTTTGCCTAATACCGTACCATTTTGGTTTTTTTGTCGCTTCTAGGTAGAGGTGTGTTTTGAAAACTTCGTGTATTTTCTCCAGAGGAGTCACTCGATTTACATGTGCATTCCCAATCTATCCAAGCGTAGAGGGTGTGACCAAGCACGAAGGCTGGCACACTAAACTAGTTTCTCAAGGCCTTCTGTTTTCGTATGTGAATCTTTGTTTTGGTGTTCTTCTGATAGAAAATATAGTGGGTCCCTTAGCGTGCCAAGGTGCTACAGTCCAAATACTAGGCGCAAGGAGATGTTTACCGTATTCTCTAGTACATGAACTTCGCTGAGGCAATTTGTCAGAGCCAATCGTATATACCAGTCAAAACCCAGAGGCAAGAACCCTCCGTTAAAATCATATAATCGCCCCCAAACACCCCACTCAATCCCTGACTCGATGAAGAGACCATACACACAAAATCCCCACATCGTGTCAGGAAACCGAGCGGGGCCAATCCGCAACTCAACACACCCAGTGAAATCAGTGAAGATGACCAGGAATTTCAAGTCCAGAAACAACAATCACCAGGAAATCCACAGGTCACAGAACGGAGAGAGAGACCAGTGCAGTGCAACAAAGACGACCAGTTATCTCAACAGCTTTCCATGCCTGCAAAACCTCAAAAGTGACCGGGGCCGCAACCGGAGAGGAGAGACAAAATCTCAGAACCATTCTCAACAGAACCAAAGAAATAAGGAGAGAACCAAGAGAATCGGTGGATATTAGAAAATGAGTACACCAAAAAAGGCGAGCGCCACGGGATATGGTTGAAGTCCCGAGCCTCGATGCGAGAGAAAGAGAAGTATAGCCCACAACACAACTGAACAACAATCCCACAAGAACTTTGCTAGCCCAAAAAAATGAGACAGGAGAA